GCTTCCCCCTTTTCCCTCCATCCTGCTGTGTGGAATGTGGATGTGATGGCTGAAGCAATGTCCTGGACAGCGAGGACAGATTGTGACACCAAAGGGAGGGTGGAACAGAAAGTTGGAAGGAGCCTAGGTCCACAGGACTTAATGGAGCACAGCCGCCACACCAGCTGAGGACAGTTACGTGAGAGAGAGAGAGAGAGAGAGAGAATTTTTTGCTGTTATTTAAGCCACCATTGGTTTGGGTCCTTGTTAGGTGCAGCCAAACCTAATCCTAACTGATATACTTACTGTGAAGTATTGTCACAAGGATGAAGTGAAACACAGATCATTATTGAGCGTGGTGCCTGGTGCACAGTAGACAATAATATGGGTTTCCTCCTTCATTTTTTGTACCTAAATAAGGCACAGCAGCCTGCTCATGATCTGCTGTCAGATTTGCTCTTCACTACCAACATTAGAGTGAAATTATAGGAAATTCGTTTTTCTAATAAAAATTGAGACCTGTAGAAAACTTTCTTCCATTTTCCCTTGTCCTTTGCAGCCCAGAAAACAACCAATTTAATGGAACACCTTATCTTAAATACACATCTCGGGAAGTGTGGAGGGGTATAAACTTTGGGAGAGACTATATTATACAACATTAACCATGGCGGATTGAGCAGGGGTATGATGCTGTGCTCAAGAGATTGACTGAAGACAGGTCTGCCTGTGTTTCCCGTCTCTGCCACCTACTGTGGGAACTTGGGCAAGTTATTATCCTCTCTAGAGGCTTTGCTTCCTCATCATTAAAATAAAAGAATAACACTATATAAGGTCGTTGTGAGGATTAAAAAAATAATCAATTAAGATGCTTAATTTAAAATGTGTAAAGGTAGCTAAACATCACAATACAACAACAATTATCATCATCGTGTTCAAATGTGCTGATTGTGAATATGGATGCAATTGCTTTCTTAAATTCTTTACGAAAGTGGCAGGGCATTAATAAATCAATGTCAGGAAATTAGGTAGTTTCTACTTTTTAGCATATTAAATGCACCTGTAATGTGGGTAATATTTTCTCATATAAACAGTGTTGTAGAGTTTGGCTGTGTTCTTTCCCACTTAGCGTTAGATAAATCATTGCTTTGTTTAATCATATGTTATAATGGCATAAATGAATCATTTGTAACAAGCATTTTAAAAAGCAAAATGATGATCCAAGTTCTAGAAAATCTAAAATGAGTTTCAAAGCACTAAGCTTGTTGATTAATCATGGAATTCCATGTCCAAATTGACACACTGCAAAGAGAAAGTATAACTGTTCTTTGTCAAAAATGGAAAACAAACGTCTTACCGATTATAAGAGCGTTGAGCAGATTGCTTTTCCTTCTCTAGATACTCTTCCTTGCAGCAAGCAAAGCCATTCAGTCAGCCTACAGATGCCAGAGCTGCCTGCTAGCCGTGGGAGCTTCACATCACACCGTCCTGGGATGTTGGCTGTGCTTCACGCTGCATTAGGACTTCATAAAAAACAGAATCAAATCAAGGGCGTAGATTTCTTGCTAAGTCAACCGGCACATATTGAGCACCAGGCAACTGAGCTCGGGCTACTGAGGGAGTTCACAGTCCAGCAGCAGAGACAGACGTACTCACCTAGCTCCGTCGCTGCATGAGTCCTGCCCGAGGCATGGGCCAAGCAGGAGAGAGAGAGAAACAAAAGCATTGATTCAAATTTACGGAGGTGCAGTCAGAGAAGGTCTAAAGAAAACAGCAACTTTTGTTCTGGGTTTTCTTCTGGGGGAGTGCGGAGTGGAGGAGCAGGCCCAGCAAAGGCATGGAAGGAGGAAATAAACTGCATGCTGTTTTGAGGGACTGGATGTTACTGAACCTGAAGTGAGTTCGCTCACCCGTTGCGCAGCAAGCCAATTTCTGACACTGGGTGTGGTGGAAGAAAGAAGGAACTTTATTACTGCACAGCGCTGAGCAAGGAGAGAGGGCAGCTAACGCTGAAATCCCAAACTCCCCGAAAAGCTAAAAGGAAGGGTTTTTATTTGGGGTTTAGGTAGGGGAGGGGAAGCATATGGCCTTGCTGGTTGGAGCTTTCCCACCAGCCTGTCTTTGTCCTTGAGACACTTGCAGAGAGGAGGGAGCTCATGACCTTGCTGGTCAGCAGCTTTCCCACCAGCCCGTATCTCTTTGCGGGAGGAGATAGTCCAGGTGCTTGTCCTTGACGGTGTTTGTCTCCATGGAGGATAGTGGATTCTGGAGCCAGGAAGCCAGAGAGTAAGCAGGGAATGAGTGTTTTGGTTTTAACCCCATCTATGCGGGGTTTAATGTGGGGAAACCGATATCAGGGTCGGTATCATGGAGAGAAGTTCATTGTGATGCTAGCTTAGGACAACAAAGAGCATAAGAGTGTCTTGTGAACCCTGAATCCTGTGCTTATCTCTTTCTGGTGTTTGAGTGTTTGTACATAGGAAAAACTGGCATCTGGGCAAATAAGGCATAAACCTCAAGGACTGAGGCCCTGATCCCTTCCTCTGGAAGCCTCAGGATTTCCTTTGATCATCTCTTGAAGCTTATGACATTGTCCTCGTGCTCTGTTGCAGACCACCAAGGACAACTGTGATGGCCCCCGCAGGCAGAGTCACTGAACGCAACCTCAGGTTTTTACCCTCATTTCTAAAAGAAGCATGCCATACTCTGAGAATACCAGAGTACGAGTACTCTGGTATACAAGCCAGTAGTGGCCGGCTCGTCTACAGTTGGGTTCCGATATGTAAAGGAGGGCTCGATAAGAGAGAACAGGAGAAGGTCGGTGGGATCCTGTTCTGAGATGAACTAACATCATGTTACTACTGCTGCAGGGAATTCATAACACCAAGAACCCTTCCCATCAGTGACGGGAGAATCCAGGGCCTTCAGGGAGCATTTCAAACTGCCAAGACCCCAAGGACATATAAAACCTCTTCCTCTTAGCCTAATAATACCTGCTCCTCAAACAGCATAAAATCATGGACAATCCAGGCACGTGGAACATGAAGTGAGCTATACTAGTTTTTTATACTTTTTCAGAGTATGCTAATCTGCACACATCTAATTACTTAAACTCTGTGCCTCAGTTTCCTCATCTTTAAAATAGGGATAATCACAGCACCTACCTCATAAGGTTGCTGAGCAGACTGAATGAATTAATATAAGTAAAGCGTTAGTGAGGTCTGACACTATTATAATTATTTGTCTCAATTTTTCCCTCACTACCACTCTGTGGCAAGCCTGTAGGCTAGATGACTCACTGACGGTACTTTAATTAGAAGCTGCATTATGTACGTTCTGAAAGTATGATGCTCCGACGGCACGGGTCTCCCATATTGCACCTAAATGGTCTGGTTTTACATGGGTGTATGCCCCATGAAAAGTGACACCTGAACCATAACCTGTTAAAGAACTTGAACAGCTTGGCCTTGTGTGGCCCAAGGATAGATCCTATCCTACTAGTCGATGTGTGGTTTGTGAAGCAGGATTTGTGAGGCAGGGCTCCAGAGTTAAGGAAAGACACAACGATCCAACCTCGGCAAGAAAAGACAATTTACAGAGAAGGAGCAAAACCACCACTCAGAACTGACTGGAAGTACCAATCAACTCTAAAAGCACGGCTCTTGCGCATGTTGCTGGCACCGACCCGCTTCTGGTGAAGTCTTTAATCACTGGCCGAAGCTCGTGCTGAGAGGGCAGAAACTTCCTCTATCTTATCTTTATCCACAATATCCATCCCAGGGCCTGGAACTGAATACACAGTAAATCAATATGTGCAAAATGAATGAATTAATCAATTACAGAGTGAATGTTAAAAAAGTTTTTGAACACTTCAAGGAAAGGTTTTTACTCCTGGTATTGGAGGGCAGCACCGATCTCCAGGATCCCTTTCTCAAACTGTAGTTTACTTAGAAGTCAGCATAGAAATCCATCAAATGATCTTTGGGATCCACTTTCACTGGCAAGCCCTGGGAAATGCCCAAAGATGCCTGTGGGCTTCCCGGACAAAGAGTCTTTCCCTTTCACTCTCTTCTTCCTACATAACCACTTCTTGAAATCCTTCAACATTAGGTAGATTTTGATCTCTAAAATGGAAATTAATAGCAATTCTGGCTTCTGTCCTTCAAACTTCCTTCCCTTTTGTGCTTCCTTTTCAAAATCAGAGAAATGCTCTGCATAATATACTGAACCTTGATTTTCTTGTTGGCTACGCCCAGCAATAATTTTTGTTTCTCCCCCATGAACATATAGCACCTTCCAACCTCCAGAAACATTAGTGAAGGACTTGAATTTCCCAGCTTCTGCCCTTTAATTTCAACCTTTAGGAATAAGGCAAAAGCCTTGTATCACCCACCGCCCGCCCTCCGCTGTGTTGAGCCCTGTGGATTCCCTCCAGGGCATCCTCCCATCCTAAAGGTCCTACACAGCAGAAACAAATGCTTTGCTGAATTCTCAGTGGCTGAGACTAAAGAGAAGATGGTAATGGCGGGGGGTTGGGCTAGAAAAGACAGCTCAAGGGTTATTTTGGGGACGTAAAGAACATCTCGAGCCAATGATGTTGGACCTTCAGGGAAATATATCAGACACTCATTTCAGGACTCCTGATTGTCCTAGTTTTCACGTTCTTTAAGTGAGGGGGAAATTTTTGCTGATCACGTTGTTCTTCATTTAAAATGCTGCCAATGTCGTCAATAGGGAACTGGTCAAATTGTGGTACATCCATCTCCTGATCCACTCAGACAGACCAGCAACCTCTGCTACATGCTCTCATGGCAACCTGTTTTCTCCTACTGAGACGTGTCATTATATTTTTGTTTTTATGATTATTTAATATCTGTCTCCTCCACTAGACTGTAAGCCCAATGAAGGCAGGGACCACGAGGGCGGGCGCTGTGTGCCTAGTGCTTACCACCATGCTTGGTATACAGTAGATGTTTAATATTTAAATGTATAATAAATACACACAATAGAATATTACACAGCCATTTTAAAGTATGATAGTGTGGTATTGTTTATTGACATGTAAACTTACCCATAATATAATGTTAAATTAAAAACAACAAATTATAAAATAGTAGCTATAGTATGAGCTCATTTTTATAAAAAGAATAGCTATGTATACAGATACATTGATCAAAATATTCATAGTGGTAGGATTATAGAGGATTTTCTTTTCTTTGTAACTCTCCATATTATCTGAACTTTGAAAATCACATTCATTTGATCCATTATTTTCTCATTTAAATACTATTTCCATTTTGAAAACAATCAAGCAGACATTAAAACACTTTTTTTTCAGTCATTAAACTTCACTTGAACATACAGTTTTCAAACAGACAATATTAGAAACAACCTAATTTCCATATGCAAATCAAAATGTTGGAATATATTAATTTTGATACTATTTCTGATTAAAGTGGGCCTCTAACAAAATGATCACGCTGATACCTTCATTTCTGTATAAAATTTATTTTATTATAATGTCCATAATTACTGATTAGACTCCTGTCTCTCCTCCTATTTACATTCCAACTTAGGATGTGGAGAATGGAATAGACCTTAATTTTTTCTCCCCTCCTAGTTTTTAGCTTACAGTCTAAAAAGTTAAAAGGCAGTGGATTCCTGAATGTAAGTCAGTGGCTGCTACATTTAAAGTACCTTCCTTACATGAAGCAAGTTTGCAAAGATGAAGTTTTTTTCCCTATCAAGACACTAACATTCTAAAAGTATATCCATTTTAAACAAACACCTTTAATAGCCTTACTGGTTATAAAACTATAATTGGGCATTTTTAAGATCTGCTTATAATTTTCCCCTTTAAAAGATATTAATTTATATAAATAAGACATTTACAGATGATAATCTCTACAGAGCCACATACTCCTGGATATCTTAAAAGCTGAGCGTAATTGCACTTATTTTATACAACAATTAGCGTTATTGTGGGGAAATGGAAAATATTTTTATATATAAATTCCTTTTCCCAACTAAGTGTAATTGAAACGTTTCATTAAGAGTCAATTTAGGGGGCCAGCCCTGTGGCAGACTGGTGAAGTCCACATGCTCTGCTTTGGCGGCCTGGGGTTTGCAGGTTCAGATCCTGGGCACAGACCTACACACTGCTCATCAAGCCATGCTGTGGTGGCATCCCACATAGAAGAACTAGAATGACCTACAACTAGAGTATACAACTATGTACTGAGGCTTTGGTGAGAAAAAAAAAAAGAAGAAGATCGGCAACAGATGTTAGCTTAGGGCCAATCTTCCTCACCAAAAAGAAAAATGAAAAAAAAGGAAAAAAGAGTCAATTTAAAAGAAAGAAAGAAAAAAAGAGCAAATACTGTATATGGCTATCTGTCTTTTAGTGATATTAATTTGGTTGTTCTTGCCAGTTTCAATCCTTTGACACAAAGACCTCAGTACCATATTAAGAAGTCAAACTATGACCTATAAAATGTGACAGCCCCAGGAGACCTATCCCACTATTATTCATTTTCAGTAAAAAATCTAACAGATTAGTGATAAATATTGTGCCTTAAAACCTTAATTATACAATACAAATCATTTATAATACAAATTGTAATGGAGGACATGTGCTGGCACAGCTGGTTCCACATATTCTTTGGAAGCTCAAAAAGCTCAAAGATGTCTTATCAATCATCATTTCAGATCTAGTAGCATAAAAGCTGGGTTTTCTAAGTAAGATTTCCACAAATTAGAGAAGCGTGACATTGTAGCACCATCAATAATTCTGTGATCGGCTGACCAGCTCACATTCATTATCCGTGCCTTATATACTTCTCCTTTCTCATTAAATCGGGGAAGGGCCTAGAAATAAGGAAAAGAACCAAGAGTCAACGTTCACTTGCTCAAAGCATAAGCTCTAGCAACAGCAATGGTGAAAGATTAGGCAAACGCCCCTCCCTGCAACAGAGAGGAGACGGGCACCCCAAATGAATTTTGAAAATGCCAGCTGCTACTTTTCCATCTCTGTGAGTACGTGCCTCAAGCTTTCAGAGTTCCTCCGAGGTGTTTCCTGCCCCCTATACAATTTCCACACGTACAGTAAATTTCACCTCAGATTTCAATTATTTAACAAATGATTATTGATCACCTACTATGTACCAACTATATTCTAGATTTGGGGAATAAAGCAGTGGACAAATAACAATCCTTGCCCTCTTGGAGCTAATATGTTAATGGACAGAGACAGACAATTAAGATCAATAAGTAAAGTGTATAGTGTGTTAGACAGTAAAAAGTGCAAATGAAAAAATGAAGCTGTTAGGCAGAAGGCGAAGTAGAGGAGAGGTGGCCTATTTTTGACAGAGTGGGCAGGGAAAGCCTCAGCAAGAAGGCTTCCTCACTGGAAACAAGCCAGATGGACACCGGGAGACAGAGACAGACGGCACATGTGACTGAAGTGCTGGAGGACCGGTAAAGGAGGCAGGGCGGCTGCTGTGGAGGGGCAGGGCTGTGGTGGGAGCTGAGGTCACAGATGGAGCCGGGTGAGGGTGGGGCCCTTTGTTAAGAGCAATAGTTCTCAGTCTGTCTTTGGTAAAGGACCTATTTTTTTTAAAAAAAATTCTAATCCATTGCAAGCTATTTTTAAAAAATATATTAAAAGTGAATTACTTAAAAAATGAAATTTAAAAAGATACACAAAATACAAGCCCTAACTTCTTCTTATTAGATTCAATAAACATAAAATCACTCTGTCAAACTGCCGTGAAAGTTGGTAAGCCCTACCATCCGCACAGCCCGGATACAACAGTCATGGCCTGACATGGGTCCCCGGTCACACTGAGAGCATCAGCGTAGGACCATGGAGGCCACTGCAGTCACTTTGCCTTTGAACTTGGTCCAGTCTGGAGACATAGACTTGAGAGTCATCAGTGTATAAATGGTATTTAAAGCCATGAGACTGGATCTAATAAAGAATAGGGCCAGAGCGAGTCCTGGGATACCCCAATGTTTAGAGATTGGGAGATGAGGAGGTACAGCAGGTAGGAGGAAAGCCCGAAAAGTGAGGTCTTCTACAAGTCAAAGTTAAGAGTGTTTTCCAAAGAGGTGGGATTGATCAACTGTCTGAAGTGTAGCTAATAGGTCAAGGAAGACAAGGACTGAGAACTGAGTGACGGGGAGGTTCTAGCGACTTAAACCATTTAGCAACAAGGAGTTTAAAATTTATAGTGAAAACAGAAAATAGCAAAGGAGAGATAACACAAAGGGAGAAAGGAATTAAATACCATTTGTCTTTACCCAACAAAGATTAGTTACATTAAGTCACTATGAAAATTTAAACTCTAAGAACTACGCTTCATGCCTTGAAGAAACCATGGGTAAAACGATTCTGTAAAAGCGCATCTATTGAACAGATATTTGTACACCAATGTTCATAGCAGCATTATTAATAATAGCCAAAAAATGGAAACAACCCAAATATTCATTATAGATGAGCAGATAAACATACGTGGTATGTACAGAGAGTTTCAGTTCAGAGTGATAAAAAAGTTCTGGAGCTGGATGGTGGTGACGGTTGCAAACAACGTGAATGTACCCAATGCCTCTGAACTGCACACTTAAAAATGGTTAAAATGGTAAATTTATGTTATATATATTTTACCATGATCACAGACTTATACATACAATTCAGAAGAAAATAAATCTCTTTAGGGAAAAAGAAAAACAAAACTTCATCACACAGGCATGATGGTTTGGAAACTAGAAAGTCAGAATTTTGTGGGAATCGAATGTTGAACTCTGGTTCGGAGAAGAATGAGTGCTAGAGATGCCACCATTCAGAGACACTCCTGGTGGAAGGAACAGCATCCTGCTGTTTTGTTCTTCTCTCCTTATCTCCTCTGTGTGCCAGAAGGAGAAGCAGATCCCAGGAAGAGGGAGTCACTTAGCAGCTAAAGTGCGGTCTGCTGGAGAGTAAATCAATGGCCGAGTGAGAATGTCTGTGGAGGGTTTGGGATGAAAGTAAGAAACTTACAAAAGACATGTGGAAGCATTATAAATGAAGAGAAGAAGAAAGGTTCTTTTGCAAATGTGAAGACCCAAATCAAGGTTAATTTAACAATGGCGGTGTGGAAATGGTTCCAGGACCTTGTTGTTTGAATGCTGGTGATTCTCCACCCTGTTAGTAGAGATGCCCAAGCCTCATCCCCCCAAATTCTGATGCAGTTGGTATATGGTGAGCTTGGACAGTTTTTTCAAGCAACCCAGATGATTCTAATGCACAGCCAGAGTTAAGAATCATTGCAACTCTTATTCCAAGTCACTGTCTCCTAAAACATGGCCACAAATCACCTGTGTTGGAACCACCTGGGTTCTTTGTTTACAAGGGAAGTTCTGGGGTCTCTGTTCCCAAGGCCAGGAAATCTACATTTTAAACTAACACTTCCAGTAATTCTTGAACAGAGTAAAGTTTGAGAAAAAAATGCTCTAAATGGGGTCTCACTGTGTTACAAATAATAATTTGGATTGGCTTACTATTATTCTTTGGTATTCTGAAATAAAGATACTTTGATAGAAGCAAATTGGCTATATTTATGATTATCCATAAAGACTCACACCTTCGCCTGGCATTATCCATAATGATTGATCCACACAGAAACAATCCAGATCAGCACCATTTACTACACATAGAGGGAGCCACTGGAATTGCAGACCTAGTTCTTGGTAAGAAATAATTGGCTTACCGACTCAAATGTCATACTCAAACCTACAAAGCAAGGGGAAAACTCAGAAATGGTTACTCTTTGTGTTTTCTCGCCCAATCTGCTTAAACTCTTTTTTCAATTATTTAATATACACACCTTAATTGATCCAACAGCCCCAATTGCTACTTCAGGCGGCAGTATTATTGGTTTGGCATAGGTACCACCAATCTAAAAAATAAAAAAGGAAGAGTAGAAAGATTAAGCTTCTGAGGGACAAATGAAATTTTATTTATCTAATTTTTTGAGGAAGATTAGCCCTAAGCTAACATCTGCCGCCAATCCTCCTCTTTTTTTTTTTTGTTAAGGAAGACTGGTCCTGAGCTAACATCCATACCCATCTCCCTCTACTTTATATGTGGGATGCCTGCCACAGCATGGCTTGACAAGTGGTGCCTAGGTCCACACCTGGGATCTGAACCGGCGAACCCCAGGCCCCCAAAGCCGAATGTATGAACTTAACCACTGCATCACCAGGCTGGCCCCCAAAAGAAATTTTATATTTTTAAATATGAATAGAAATCTTAAGTTATGGTTTATGAATTTGAACATTACTATTACTCACTGATCCAATGTTGGACAGAGTAAACGTTCCTCCTGTGAGATCAGTGGTACCGAGCTGACCCAAAGAGCCCAATTTCTGGAGGCGGTTCAATTCACTGGCAATCTCAAATACGGAACAGATCTGAACGTTTTTCACATTAGGGACGAGCAACCCCTGCTCAGTATCCATTGCTATCCCAATGTTATGAGAAGCCTAAAAAAGACAAACAGTAGGCCTTTTCATAAGCTAATGGGAAAGAAAGGATCAACTGTCACTGTCTTACAAATAGAATTACCAAGAACTATTTCACCAGATTAGTGATGACTTAAATAATGTTTAAAGGATTTTTAAAAGATTTTTTTGAGAAATACAATTTTTTTTGTTGGTAAGAATATAGGGCAACAAGCTATTTCCATACATTGTTAGTGGAAATGTAAGCTGCTATACACTTTCTGGAGAACATTTAACAATAAACATCAATATTTATAAAAATTTGTGCTAAGGAGATAAATACAGAAGTATGTAGAGATACACAGGGATGTTGAATTCAGATTGTAGGTTTGAGAAACTGCAAACAATCAAAACGTGTATCAATAGGTCATAGCTAAATAAATAACAAAGCTGTATTTATTGACATGTAATGATGTCCATAATATAGTAAATGAAAAAGAAAAAAGTTAAAAGAAAAATTTTTTATAACATTAAAAGTTAAATAAAATGTATAACTCTATTTTTTTTTTTTGAGGAAGACTAGCCCTGAGCTAACATCTGCCACCAATACTCTTCTTTTTGCTGAGGAAGACTGGCCCTGAGGTAACAGCCGTGCCCATCTTCCTCCACTTTATATGTGGGAAGCCTACCACAGCATGGCTTGCCAAGCAGTGCCAGGTCTGCACCCGGGATCTGAACCAGCGAACCCGAGGCCACCAAAGCAGAACGTGCGAACTTAACCATTGCGCCACTGGGCCAGCCCCTCATATATTTTTTAAAAATAAAATGCTGAAAGGATGAACATCTCAACATAAACAGTGAGTTATCTTAGGGTCATGGGATTGAAGGTACACATCGTTATTTTCTTGTCTGAATTTTTTGCAACAAGTATATACTTAATCAGAAAAACATATTAATCATATGGGAAGATTTTAGATGCAGCCCCTCAGAATTAGAATATCTAAGCTCACTTTCTGCTTATATATTTCTAGTGAGAAATATAATTAAGGACCAGCATCTCCAAAAGAGTTTTCAGTCTTAACAAACTTTCACTCCAAGAAAAGAGTTCACTCAAATGGAATTCAAACTTTCATTACTCTTCTCATTTAGATTATTCTCATTTTAAAAACTGCAGGACTTCCTTTTTGAGAGGAGCCATTCTTTTTGAGGGAAGGGTGTGTAGGATGGGTAACATATCCCGTTGCCTCACAGGCATATATTTTTATCATTTTAAGCAGAAAATCAAAAGGGCTTAAAAATGGCAATCTGCATATCCGAACAGTATCATCATTAACCAGTAAAACCAACAATAACGACAAATTATACTTCGGTCTAATGTTTTACTCCATACCTTTAATTCTAGCTTAAAAAAGATCACTATGTGAGGTACAACAGGAGCTTCTCTAACAGACAAGCACATTCGCACCATCTTCTATTTATAACAAGAACATTTTCACAACATATAGCCAACCTTATATGTTATGTTTTGGCAGCTTTCATCCACAGAGGCATTAAGGATAGGGAACTGTAGTAATCCCAAGGAAGCAGCCTGTTTGACAGAAAGAGAATGCAACTTTAGCACGTCTCCCTCAGAGAGGAGACAGGACTCGAAGCAATAAGAAGAAGCGTAAAGGAGGGAGGGAGAGAACTCTTATTCACGCTGAGTTTAACTTCAAGTCTCCATGTACTTAGGCGCCTTACTCCCGCTGTCACCTCCAGGCAGTGTGGAACTAGGCCACCCTAATCAGTTAAGGATAAAAGATAAAGTAGTCAGATAGCTTGTAAACATCAAGATTTGCAAAATAACTGGACAGACTGACCAAATTACCAAGAGAATGTCTAAATTCTACGTGACTTCCTCACTTACATGTAGCGTCATAAGATTTCCATGAGAAATAAACCTGTAGTTCAACAAGGCGGTAAGTAAGCTATTTCCCTGTGTGAAAAGAACAAGAGAGAAGGACTTCCAAGTGCGCTGACCATCAGAGGCCGGTGTTCTACCTGGCATCTTGGCCGAGTGAAGGGCAGAGCTGGCGTGAACATTTACTTGAGAGCCCGTCTCCCTGATGGATCACATCTGTCTTCCCGCTCGGCCACCTTCTCCCTTAATCTCTGCTTTTTCCCGTTTTTCTCTTACTAGTACCATTCCTCTTCTGTCCATACTCAGATTTCCCTAAATGTCCCCAAAATGTTCTTTATAGCTGTTTCTCTGCCCATCCAGGATCCAATCAAGGTTCACACATTGCATTCAGTTGTTATGCCTTATATTAAATCTAAGAAAATGGAAAAATAAAAATGCTTAAGATTGTTCTTAAAAAGAATTCCCTCTCCCACTGGCCTCATCTAGTCTAATTAAGAGTTCTTTTTCTTTTTCTTTTTTGATGAAGATTAGCTCTGAGCTAACTGCTGCCAATCCTCCTCTTTCTTCTGAGGAAGACTGGCCCTGAGCTAACATCCATGCCCATCTTCCTCTACTTTATATGTGGGACGCCTACCACAGCATGGCTTTTGCCAAGCGGTGCCATTTCTGCACCTGGGATCCGAACCAGCAAACCCCGGGCCACCGAAGTGGAACGTGTGCACTTAACTGCTGCACCATGGGGCCGGCCCCTTAAGAGTTCTTTATATGAATTGTGTTAAGTGTTATTTTGGTCTGTGGGTTAGTGGCCTTGACAGAAAAAAGAAGTCATATCCTTGAACTAGACAGTTAGGAAAGTTTTATCAAGCATTTGATTTGATAACTGCAACTTTAATCTTCTTCATATAAAAATCCATAGCTAAGGTTAATTAAAGTGTTACAAATAAAAACACTGTTTTGAGTATAATCCAAATTTTAAGAAAAACAAACAAAAAACAAGGTGTGTGTCCATCGATCACAGGTCATCTTTTTCCCTGTACTACACTTTGTAGTATTTTCCAAATGCTCTGAAACTTACATGGGCAGAAAAAAATGTTACTTTAAAACAAATAAAGCCTACTAAATTTTATTTTCAAAATAAACATCTGATATTTCATTCAGACTGGAACAATGAAGGAAAACAATAATAAGACAAATTCAATATATTAAGAGCTGGTCTATCTTCGCTTTAAACAGATGTCACTAGGCAGCAGTGAGGGAACCCAGTCCGAAACACAGAGATAGTGATCTCCTGCTCAAGGCTAACTTCTCCACCGGGGTCTTCCTCTTGTTCTTCCCCCAACGCCAGGGCCTTGCTCCAACAATTGTTCCCACTCACATATTTCTAACTTTCCACTTTCCAGTTCTTTCCCTCAGCCCACACATCTGCTCAATTTCTCCCTGAGGATGTGCAGGAGGACAGGGGGCAGGTGGAAGCTTCCTCAATCCCCCGCAAACCACCACCTTAACCAGGCCCTGTACCTGCGCCCTGTCTGCCTTTCACCAGATTTTTTTAGTGTCTCCTCTTCTGCAATTTCTATTCATTCCCCAACTAACTGCAACCAAGCTTCTACCTCAACAATACTTTATTCAATCAGTTCCAGCCAAGGCCACTCATGACCTCTTGATTACTAATCTAATAGCCTGTTTCCATCCCTTCTCCTAGTCAACCTCTGTGACACAGGACCCTTATCTACTCCCCTCTTAAAGCTTTTTCCTTCTCTCTTGGTGTGAGAGGCTGAATCAACGGCCCCAATCTTTTGTGCCTCTCCGCATCCACGCTCTCGGCAAGCTGACTCTGCACTTAGTCACGTGACTTGCTTTGGTCAATGAGTTAAGAACAAACTCATGCAGAAGAGCTTGGAAAAAGTACTTAAAATCTGCTTCCTCTCTTCATCCTTACCAGTACTGAGACCACACATAGGTTGTATACTGGGGAGACAAGTGAGACAAACAGAAGACAAATGGTCAGCCTTGCCAAGGCCATCCTACATCAGCAGGCCCCTAGTCAACATACTAGCTGTCTGTAGACATGAGCGAGCTCTGGCAAGATCAGCAGACTAGTCTTGTTTCACCTGTAGACTCAAGGTAAATAATAAGTGACTGTTCTTTCAAACCATTAAATTTGGGAGTGGTTTGTTGTATCACAGTAGATATACTTCTAAGTGACTCTTTCCTGGTTCTCCTATGGTCAGACCACTGACCTCACTCACCCTCTTCCATGTCGTTGCCAACTCAGCTTCTACCTACCCCTTAAACTTTGATGTAAAACTCTTAGCCTTCTTTTCTTCTCATTCAAACACAGTTTGGGTGCTCTCCTCCACGTGTTTCAATTGCTATGTCTCTACAGCGGACTCTCTATAGCCGTAATATAGCCCAGATCTCTCATTTGTTGACGTCTATTACATCTCATGTTTACCATCCATCACCATATGCATGTGCCCCTTCATGCCTTTTGCCCTTCCTCAGCCTCTTTCCCCCTGGTAACCACCAGTCTATTCTCTGTATCTATGTGTTATTGTTTGTTGTTGTTTTTCTACCTTCCACATATGAGTGAAATTATATAGTATTTGGCTTTCTCCATCTGACTTATTTCAATTAGCATAATACTCTCAAGGTCCACCCATGTTGTCACAAATGGCAAGATTTCACCTTTATTATGGCTCAGTAATATTCCACTGTGTATATACCACATCTTCTTTATCCATTCATCTGTTGATGAGCACTGCAGCTGTTTTTAAATTGTGGCTATTTTGAATAATGCTGCAATGAACATAGGGGTACATGTATCTTTTCAAATTAGTGTTTTCATATTCTTTGGATAAATACTTAGAAGTGGAACAGCTGGATAATACGGTGGCTCTATTTTTAATTTTTTGAGGAATTTCCATCCTGTTTTCCTCAGTGGCTGTACTAAGTTACATTCCCACCAGCAGTGTAAGAAGGTTCCCTTTTCTCCACACCCTCTCCAACACTTTTTATTTGTTGTCTTGTTAATTATAGCCATTCCTTTCAGGTGTGAGGTGATATCTCATGGTGGTTTGACTTGCATTTCCGTAATAATCAGTAATGTTGAGCATCTTTTCATGTGCCTGTTGGTCATCTACATATCTTATTTGGAAAAATATCTGTTCAGATCTTCTGCCCATTTTTTGATTGGCTTGTTGTTTTTTTGTTGTTGAGTTATATGAGTTCTTTATCTACTTAGGATATTAGTCCCCTATCAGAGGTATATGATTTGTAAATATCTTCTCCCAATTGGTAAGTTGTTTTTTTTTCTTTTGTTGAGGAAGATTAGCCCTGAGCTAACATCTGCTGCCAATCCTCTTCTTTTTGCTGAGGAAGACTGGCCCTGAGCTAACATCCATGCCCATGTTCCTCTACTTTCTATGTGGGACACCTACCACAGCATGGCTTTTACCAAGTGGTGCCGGCCCCTCTGAGCCATTTCCTTAAACGGAAAGTGGGGATAACAATATTTACATGTCAGGGTTATTCTGAGAATTAAAAGTGATCATGGATGCAGTATGCTTGGTACGGGGTCTGGCACACAGTAGCTGCTTCATAAATAGTGGTTAATGTGAGCTAGACGGTGGGCTGCTCAAGGTCAGCTGATGGTCTTATTCCATTTTACATTCGTTCTAAGGCCTCATACTAGAAATGATTCTCGGAAGCCTCAGTATGGTTGTTGAATAAATGAAAGTAAATACATGTTGGTGACACACAAGATCAATACCAAGTCTCACTTTTGTTGAAATAAGGACTTTGCTGGAGGGGTGCTTTCAGAATTACAGGCTTTACCTAACTGGCAGGAAAATCCTTACCCAGCTTAAAGAGAGAAGTAGATAAAAACATGACACAGAAATTTCAATTTTATAAATTCTTATAAAACAAAGAAAGAGTGTACTTACATATTTTTCTAACTATGTGATATGGTGAGAAGTAACATTTTTATTCAAACCCACAGCTAATACATTGCAGATTTACAAAGCAAAATTTAAGGATCCTACTCAAGACTTGTCTGAAATCTCACCTTTAAGAAAAATGGCATGAAGGAGAGTTTAACTCCACGAGCAAAAGCAATGGGTTTTAGTTCTTCTCGCAGCTTAACCAGTTCAGTAAGATCAACCTCATCACAATACCCAAAGTGAGGAATCTTCAGGGCTGCAGACATAGTTTTGACCATCGTTTTGTGAAAGCCTGGAAAACATTTAATATATACATATTTTAAAATTCTTAAATCCTTTAATACTCTTTTTTACTAAAATAGAAGTTTCTCTAATGTTGTTTACTCTCAATTAAGCTCTTCCTCTTGGAGCTACCATCTTCATTACATAACTCGAAAGCCACTAATTTCACTGACTGCAGCACACCTAGTATCAAGTGTAATAATACGACAGGTAAGTGTCTTCAATGCTGTGATGCATGAAAACTTCAAAAGGATGCAACCCATGTATTTCCCTAACGGCTGTCTTGCAAAGTCACTCTTCTGGAAGCTAATCATGCTAAGAGTTTATAAATAACAAATGAGAAGTAGCTGTTTTGAAAGCCAACTAAAAATAATGAACATTTAAAATATCCTGAGTGTGTCTCCAAACAGAACAATTATCCATATTCAAGTTTATAGTCCAAGAAACCTGCTAACATATTACTCTTCAGAAATTAACAGTATAAGCTGAAGCTTTCCCTGGAAAAACTGATATTTCATCATTAAAAAAATTATACGCTGAACATCAACTTTCCCTTCAGTAAGAACTGAAAACACCATATTATATATGTGGCTCTATAGACGTAGCTTTCTCCAAATAAATTACACTGTTACCTTACATTACTGTTATTATTACCTTTTATGGGTTCTGTTCTGTCTTTGCCTGTGAAGACCAGAGGTTTTGATATTGGTATAGGTGTCGTCCTGTCTTTTGGTGTTGGTGGAGGTGGCATAATTTCAGCTTTTGGTGAAGGAGGTAATATAGCTCCTGTCTGCTTTTCCAAATAGTTGAGAATATCTTCTTTAAGTATTCTGCCATCTTTTCCTGAGCCAACAACTTCACTCAGCTTAATCTAAAAAATGACAAATTTTAATGCTAAAAATAAAACTTCCTAAAAATAAAAAAATTCATCATTAAGGTCTCTGAATGGAATTTAATGAATTGAAGGCAAAAAAGTACCTCTACCCAATAAACTAGTATAAGGAAATAATATTTTCATTATCTTAACAGAATGCTATGAACTATAGATACTCTTCATACTTAATCATTGGTTCCTTTTGTACATACTGTTCATTTGCTCCTGTGGTAACAATGCAAAAATCTTTTTTTTTTTGGGGTTGAGGAGGATTTGCCCTGAGCTAACATCTGTGCCAATCTTCCTCTATTTTTTAGTATGTGGGCCACCAGCACAGCATGGCTGCTAACCAAGTGGTGTCGGTCCATGCCTAGGAACGGAACCTGGGCCAACGAAGCAGAGCATGCTGAACTTGACCGCTAGGCCACTGGGGCCAGCCCTATTTTTCCTTTTTAAAAATTTACTTAAAAAATATGAAGAGGGCCGAGGGTGGTAGGGAGAAAATGAATTGCTTTCCCCTGAAAAAGGCAGTTTCACAAAGGCTGGAGAGGGATAGAGATTATATATATGTATATAATTTTATGGGTTAACAATACAGTATCTACATTGTAGATAACCCATAGCTACTTATGAAAACTTACATTTTTAAACAGTCAACTATTTTAAAATTTCTTGCATAATTCTTATTTGATTTTTTCTATTTTTGCAGACTACGTAAGAAGACAGAGAACTAAGAGTTTAAAGAAGAGTTAAACACTAACAAATGTAGACCGATGTTTCTGACCCTGGTTACCAGATAGTTAAGATAATCATCATACAAAAGCTCTCTCAAATAAGTTTTTTTCTGATGGTTCTTTTAGAAAGATCAGTACAAAACACTGAAATTAACTTTTCTAAGACATTGTATTTGGAATGTGAGTTCCTCAGCCCAAGGGTCAAATACATAAGTTTTATTATTGCTTTCTACAGAATAAACCATAGATGACATAGTTCCACTTTCCACTAGACACTCATGATAATTTTTGGAAACATATATGATCTGGCTTTATTTAATCATTTTCTATGTTTGGTTACAGAGATCAAATATTCTCACAAAATTTAATTCTACTTAAATAAAAAGACACAAAAGCTTGGATGATATCCTCACACACAGCGTGTACTAGTTAACTTCTCAGGGTTAATTATCTGCTTCCGTTGCATTAGTGCATCTCTAAGGATGACTTCAAAAGAATAAAGGACTTTATCACGTCAGACATTTAGTTTATAACAAATGAACTCTGAGAATTTAAACAAATAATTTTTAAGTAGTTACAAACAACTGTAAGTGGCATTGGTTTTTAATTTCAAACAAACTCAATTCCTAAATATGCAAACTGCAAAAAAAAAAAAGGTGATTTACAATAAGAGATCTACTGCTTAATTTCTAGTAATTATGCAAATAATCTAGTTATTATACACATCCTTAGGAAGTGGTAAAGGAAAGCCAAATCATGTATTTCTACAGGTAGTCCTTCTATAGAACTAAGAAAAAACATTGGTAAAATGCTTTATGGTTTTCAAAGCAATATATGAGATCATTCATCTGATGCCCGTAACAATCTAGTGTTCCATATTAATATTTCTATTTTCTATTATGCTAAATTATCTTCATGTTTAAGCACATTTAATGGCTAATAAATTTTCATTAAGGGTTTATAACATAATTTACCTAAGCATGTCCCTGATGTTGAACACATATGTGCCATCCTGGCTACATAAAACACTTGCAAGAATGGATCCTAAACTATTTATTTCCTTGGGATAGTTCCTCAAAAACAGGATAACCAGCTGAAGGGATATGAACATTTTAATGACTCTTATTGCCTATTTCCAAAATGTAAACTTTTGTTTTTCCCACTGTAAATTAACTACTTCTCTCAAAAACGGATAAACAAACAAAAAACCTGCTTTGTGAGGCACAGTGGAGAGAACTCAGGCTTTTGGACCAGACAAATTTGTGTTCAAATCCCCAGGTCCTCTACTTACTTGATTTTAGACAACTTAATCAACTTCTCTGCTCTTATTCATCTGCAAAATGGGGAGAATCCAAACTACTTTGCAGGGTTCCCGGGAGGATTTGAGATAATATGTCTCCGGTGTCTGGTTCATAAGTGCTCAAATAATGGAGGCAATAATTGTTGAGGCAGTATATAATGATTACAAGAGCCGGTTTGTAGAGTCACAGAGACTCACTTCGGAATCCTGGCTCCATCACTGTGTCAGCAGTGTGACCTTGGACCAGTTACTTGAACTCTATAAATCTTAGAATAGCCTCCTTATTTCACAGAGTTTGATGAAATGAGATAATATGTTAACACTTATCACAGTGCTAAGAGGTACCTTTCCCTGGAGGGTAAGCAGCACTGATTGGCTGCTAAAAGGGAATACAAAAGGCTAGGCTCCTTGTTTCCAGTCAGTAAAATTTTATGCTTCTCCCCTCAACCTGGGATCCTTGAGGCCACATCCTTGTCTGGTTCATTTCCCTTCTCTTCCCTTCCCTATACGACCCCCCTCATTCCAAGTAAAGATGTTCACTCTCTCAATCAATCAGTCAATTACATATACCCAAATCAAGCTGTGCTTCTAGGGCACCTGATCTAAGACACTAGTATTCACAAGTGCTCGATAAATGGTAGTCCTGACAATTATTAGGCTCTAAGAAAGAATAATAAAACCACATTCCTCAATTAATATAAGCGATAAGGTCACAATATTCTTCTCATTTCTCATGAGTACTTTTATGCAACTCTCACTTTTCAGTAACAGACATTTTCATGTTCTCTTTAATCCCATCTTGAGCCATCTCATCATGGGACTGTTGGCTAATTTTTCATATATGCAAACATATACTTTCTATGTGATCTCCTATTTAAATCTTAAGAAACTTACATTGTTTTCCATTGCAAGGCGGCGAACTGCAGGAGTTGCCAGAGTTTTCTGGCCCTTTATCTCTTGGTGTGTGTGTTCATCATGGGGCACAGCAGGAGTTTCAACAACATCTTCTTCTGAATCTGGTAACAAGGTAAAATTTTCTTATTTACTTTAAAATATTTTAAAAACAAATTTAGTGGCTTATAATATATAAACTCAACTTAAAGTTTGTAGTCAAAAAGTATAAGAGCTGGGCTACTTCAGAATGGGAAATCAAATGGGTAGAGTGTGTGTGTGTGTGTCTGGTAGGGGGTGGGTATTGGTACCCAGGACTGGTTAATGATTATTATTACCTGGTGTTCACTCCATTTCTATTAAGATCATGTAGCAATACAAGTCAAAAATGAGAACTACTTCCATGAGTTTTAAAATATGTTGTATTTTAACCACTTTCTTATTAAATTTCTCATTTATATTTATAAATAGCATGAAATAAGAATCAAATGTGAGGTAATTTATATGAAAGAATTATGTAAAATCTGTGACTATCTTAAACGCTCTCCTAAGATAATGTAGCATTTAATATACAAAGAACTCATACAATTCAGCAACAAAAAACAATCTTATCAAAAAATGGGGAAAGGATATGAACAGACATTTTTCCAAAGATATACAGATGGCAAACAGGCACATGAAAAAATGTTCAACATCACTAATTATTAGGGAAATACCAATCAAAACTACAATGAGATATCACCTTACACCTGTCAGAATGGGTATAACTACCAAGTCAAAAAATAACAAATGTTGGAGAGAATGTGGAGAAAAGGGAACCCTCATGCACTGCTGGTGAGAATGCAAACAGGTGCAGCCACTATGGAAAACAGTATGGAGATTTCTCAAAAAATTAAAAATAGAACTACCATATGATCCAGCTATCCCACTACTGAGTATTTATCCAAAGAACTTGAAATCAACAATTCAAACTTATGCACCCCTGTTCATTGCAGCATTATTCACAATAGCCAAGATGTGGAAGCAACCCAAGTGACCATCAAATGATGAATGGATAAAGAAGATGTGGTATACATATACAATGGAATACTACTCAGCCATAAAAAAGACAAAACCCTCCCATTTGCAACAACATGGATGGACCTTGAGGGTATCATGTTAAACAAAATAAGCCAGACAGAGAAAGACAAATACCACATGATTTCACTCATATGTGGAAGATAAACAAACACATGGATAAAGAGAACAGATAAGTGGTTACCAGAGGGGAAGAGGTTGAGGGGTGGGTGAAAGGGGTAAAGGGGCACATATATATCATGATGGATAAAAATTAGACTATTGGTGATAAGCATAATGCAGTCTATACAGAAACTGATAAATAATAATGTACACCTGAAATTACACAACGTTATAAAGCAAAAAAAAAAAAGAATGTAGCATTTAAATTTTTCTCTGCTCTAAATATGGCTTGAGGAATGCTGTGGAAGATTTTATTTTCATGGCTAATGCTAATTTGGTTTTGCTATTCTCTAACTCTAGAGTACTGATATAAGAAAAACTATCTCAGGGTGTTAGCATGTATTTCTGCAACCAAAAAAAAGTTTTTGAGAGCATTTAATTGTCAAAGTCTGATGCTGGGAAATCAATGCTGCATAGCAGAATCTCTGTGGGAATTAGTGATAGACTAAACTTCTGAAAATCAGCAGGCAACTGAGTTTGCTTTGACATTCAATTCTAAGCAAATAAAAATTTTCCAGTGCTGCAACTATGGAAAGACAGTCTATTCATCTCTCCTTACTACTCTATGAACTGGCCCAGCAGCGCTCTCAAAGTTCCCCTAAGGATGGGGAAGGTAAGAAAAAAACTCATAATGAGCATGAAGGGTAGCAGAATATCCCACCCCAAAATATGACTGTAGGAGTCCAGGACACGCCATCCCAAAATATGCTCCTTTGGTATACTGATTATTTTGAGCCATAGACACTTGAAAAAACAGCAAATGCAGAGAGAAGCTTTCCGTGAACTCCCCCTTATCTGCCTAAAGACAGACTGTCCTAAAGGAACGCAATTGTCATACATCCTTTCCCCAGGAATTTCATCCACCAGGGAAGATCGACACTTATCACAGGAGAGGAGACTAGAAGTCGGCACCACACCTAGATAAACTGTGCCACAAACTATCACACCTCCCATCTCTTCTTCTAAAGGCCCACGCAGCTTTCCTAAAAGTCACTTACTCTTCTAAGAAGCCTACACTCCCCGCCCCCGCTTCCCTATTAAGATGATATTTAAGCCTGAATTTTAAAGCCACCTCTTTGAGTTACTCATTTTTCCCTGGGTGTCTCCCATGTATACATGAGGCATATATGTTAATAAACTTCTGTTTTTCTTCTGTTAATCGGTCTTCTTTTTACAGGGATCTCAGCTAAGAACTCACAGGGTAGAGGGAAAATTATTTTTCCTCCCCCACAAGCACCTAATATATGTGAAATATGCACTACAAATGCAATATCTTAATTTTCACTCCAACTGTGTAAGATAGGTGTTATTATCCCCATTTTATAGATTAAAAAAAGTGAGAGATGAAAGATGAAGGGATTGGCCCAAAGTCACACAACTAATAAAGTGTGAAGAGCTGGGATTCAACCCCAGGGCTGATGCAGTCTGTGCTGTTTCCATTAGTCCACGAGCCTAGTAAGTTTTCTTTCTGGTCAAATAAGCTGGACTATAACTCCTATAGTTCAAGGCATAATCTTGTTGGTCTTTGAGAATCCCTCTGTATTGTCCACCTCTGATAAAGTTACGGGAGAAAGTAGTAAGAAGATTAACATTAGGAACTTACTGTCCCAAGGGAAATCAAGGGGATTCAATTGTAGGAATCCCAAATACTAACTTGAATAATGCATAATTGCTGAAATAAGAGAAATGTATAAATGCCCAAATTTATCATATACAAAAGTTATTATATATTTCAAAAAGATCATGTAATTTACTGCCACTCACCTTTCTGGAAAACATTCTGATATAGCACCAAGTAGTACTGTCTTTTAGAATAACTTGTGTGTACATATAAGCGACAAAACAAACTTGTGAGAAGTCATTCATATTATATATCATTTGTAATAGTTACGTGGTTGTTGGAAGAAAGCTCTCTTAATCAAGTACTATAATATCACCTTACCACATAGCACTTTAAATCATTTTCTAAGTGTTTTTAGACATATTTTCTCCCTTGGTGATCACAACAATGTTTAAGAATGCAGGACTAGTTTCTCAATTTCACCAATGTAGAAACAGACACTAAGGGGCATGAAGTTAAGACTAACCTAACATTTTGTAACTCTCCCCAACGGATGTGATTTTCAAGGTTCTAGCACCATACTCTAGTATGTGGGATTTTATTTCTTCAGTAGTGGATTTAGAGTACACAGTTTTAAAAGCACTAATTAAGAACAAAAGAACTCTGTAAGCAAGCACTTTTTTCCGGTGAAGACTGTCAATTTAATGTTGCTGAAATTCCTCATGTGAAACAAATTTACCAAAAACACATTATTTCAGCTTAACTAAATAAAAGAGTGATTTGAATTAGTAAAAATATTAAACTATGAAATTGCAATATTCTTAGATATTTCAAAAACTATTTCTAAGAACTACAGTAAGTAGTTAACGACATTAATTCACTCAACTAGGGGAAACTCTTTTGGGGAAAATGTTTTGAAACACTAAAGCATTCAAGGGTGTTTGAAACAGTTTGTTTTCGTAATAAGCTTTAAACTGTCTCCTCGCAAAACTGCTGAGGAAGACCTTTCTTCATAGCACAAATGTAAACTTTAGTTTAGTGCCTGTCCAAATGATCATAAATTGAGAATTAATGACACCCAAACCGAGGAGATTTCACTTCAAATTACTGAAACAGTTAATTCATCCAATTTAATTTACAATTAGCTGTACAAAATTAAGTTTATAGCTACCACTCATTGAGCACTTACTATGCCCGGGCATTGTACTATGAAATTTATATTATTGAGCATAATTTAATTAAATGACATGCCAAATTTTTGGAATGGTTTCATGTCAAAGAGCTTTTCTTTAACTCTGAAACACTGTATTAATCCTGGTAAACATTTTAATGTTATAAACTCTACATGATACCTAACTTGCATTGTTATAGCCGAATTTTGTAAATTCGCACATGTATAGTGTTAGAAATTCAACCCCAGGGCTGTAGATTCAGAATTGTGCTGATACCCACTATCTCTGAATAGAATTTTCAGTGTAACAAAGTGGTGAGGAAGATGGGCTTTGGAATTAAATAGAGTTGGGGTCAAACTGTAGCTCCACCAAGGCTATGTGACCACAGATAGGCAAGTTATCAAACCTCTGTGAGTTTCAGTGTCACACGTGTCAACTGCAGATAACGATTTAATGAGATAATGTACACACAGCATTAGCACAGAGAAGGCATTCAATCAATGACAGACGTTGACGTTAAAGGGTAAATGCAATATAATAGCAGAATAATCCTAGTTTTACGAAGTATTGTGCTATAGCTTATGTCCCTCCTTCTCTTCCCTTAATACTTCCCCATGGTGGCAAGACTCCTCAATTAGGAGTAATTAGGTATAGTAACTCTCTACTTGTCTGGTGGTCAAAGATTCTAGCAACTTCATCTTGCACATAGCTTCAGGCCCAGAATACCTAAATTGGCTGCCACACAGCTTCAGCATTAAAACCATGCACTTGTTCCAGAAGAAAGGCATTTAGACTCTCAGTCAGATCCTATTTTCTCTTCTTAGCACATACTTGCTAACAAACTTGGTTATCTGTCTTCTCAGAAAGGTAGGAAGGAGAGTGATGGCCTGGCACAATGGCAATGCTAAGAGGTAGGCTGGAAAAAATCAGATGCAGAATTGTACTGTTTACAGTACAATGAACGTTTGTAAAATGTCTTTGCATGATCAAAAAAAGTTTTCAGTTATAATCAATATCTTCACTTTAAGAAGGAGTAAAATGTATAAAGTTTTTTAAAAAATAAAACTAACGATTCCCCTCAGATAAATGGTTTTGAAAACAGTTTTGGTACAAAAAGCTTTAGCTGTTTAGAAAAGCAAAAATCATCTCACTTTGTTAAATAAATAAAGGCTAGAGAAAGGCAGGCTAGCTATAAAGGGAACTCACAGCAATCCACTTAAAACCCTGAGTTTACAGCAGACAACGCACTGAGACATGGAACAGCTTTGATATAATCTTGACATCAAGTAACTGGATTTCAACTTGTATTTTTTAAAACAATACATGCCTTGTAAACGTGACGGATACAAGTTGGCCTAAGTGAGTCCAGTAAGCTCTTTTCAAGTAGAGGTCTGTCTACAGTCAAATCACTCACAGATAGGATGTGGAGGTCTCAAATAGTTTCCCTCATCAAAATTATCATGACACTCCAGCCTTGAAAAGCAGACTGTAACACCGTGTTACAAAAGACAGTGCCACAGAATATCATTTAAGCAAGCATTAGAAGACAGGATTTAATTTCCACTACCACTATTAAGATGTCTAGTCTTGATCTCTTATACCCTTGATGGTTCTATGCTACAATTATTTTCCACCTATAAAATGGAAATAATGTATCTTATACTTCTAAAAGACTTTTTGTTAAGTAATTTTCTATTTATAGTATAATTGGTTTTACCAACACTAAAACAAGGAACAACATAAGCAAATTCAGTATTACTACAAAATCTTTCCCATTTCCAGAATTAAAAAGAGGCATACATAAATTTCTCAGTAAATCAAATCTATAGTTCTATAGGATTGCTTATTTGATATATAGGTTTATACTTCATAGTTTATTCTTATGGTAAAAAAATTAATAAAAATTACAAGAAAACATAAATATAAAAGCAAAAAGGCAAGCATGCAAAATAAAACTAGCATGCAAGATAATTGTTCAGAATACACTCTGAATGGCAAACAAAATAGAACAGCTAGCAAATGATCACTTCTCTATGAGAAATATTATCAGATAAATAAACTGCATATACATAAAATAGAAAATCTGATAAGCTTTGAAAGATGTATATACCCATAAATCATCACCACAATCAAGATAGTGAACATATCCATCAACCCCGAAAGTTTCGTTTTACCCCTTGGGAAGCCCTCCTTCCCAGCCTTCCTTCTGCTCCCTCCCCTCTCACCTGGCAACCACCAATCAATTTTCTGTCATTATAGATTAGTTTGCATTTTCTAAGATTTTATATACTACATGGGATCCTATAGCATGTTCTCTTCTTTGTCTGGCTTCTTTCACTCAGCATAATTTTTTGAGATTCATCCATTTTGTACCAGGAGATTAATTTTTGTGAAAAAACTCTCTAGAAAAAGCATACCCTTCTCCTGAAAAAGTACTATCATTTTATAATTTGCTATATCAAGACTTATTGAGTTGGATCTCACTTGAGACGTCAAAATAAACCCTAAAAACAAAGCCAAACAATAAAAACCCCACAAATCCCAACTGGTTACTTGTTCATGGAAATAATTTGCTTTTTCGGATGACCTGGATTGGTGTCTAATCTGGTCTACAGCGCCTCATTGGATGTCCCAATTTAAATAATAGTGTTCAGCATCTTTGCTTGTCTCAATTTTTGCCAAAAGCGTAACCCTCTTTCCTTTCTAGGTCGTAACTGAAGCCAAAAAATGTCATTGATCCATCAAAATCATCCTGTGTTTATTTCAGGTAATTTTTAAAGGGGAATTCCTTTTTGTTTTTAATATTTCTAAATAATGACTTTCAATAGAAATCTGGAATCAAGATGATAGGAGGTACTCCTACTACCCTAGATTATGGTCTCTTATCCATTCCACACTAAAAGGAGCAAAATCCCCTGAAGAAATAGATAATTCCAGGTCGGAGACAGAAGTACAAGGTGAGTCCCAGAGCATCTTCTTGTGCCAAAAGCAAGAAAGCTTTTGAAAATTAATGGGGTCATGTTAAAAGCGCAGGAGCCACCTTGAAAGGGTCACTACTATTAATGATTTGAGCATCAAAAAGAATGATTATAATAGATTAAACACACTGAGTCAAATGAAATACACATAAAGAGAAAGTTGGAAAAATTAATCTCACCATTTGAAGCAGCTATTAAAGCAACCTTTTACTTGGAGAATTGGTAAAGGGAATGCGCCAAGTGTTTATTTTCTTTCCAGTAGGAACTGCATTCAAGAGAAACCAATAGCTGCAATTGAGGAGGAGAGAGCTCCACTTTACAGAATAATGCCGGGTAATAATGGTAAAGGAATGACAGAGTCCAAAAATTGTCATTCCACAACCACTAAAGCAATTGTTGATTTAGGCAAAGATTTTCAAATGATATTATAAACTGCTTATATGGTGCCAAAGTAACACCACAGAGATCACTTCCAGGTTGCAAAGGGGAAAACATAAGCGCACAATGGAGGGGCAAGGGCATCCCTCCCCTGATTCAGCGTTTAGACTTTGCATCACTACAGCCGGTCATCCAGGTGTTATACGTGTGTCCTGATGTGAAGCAGTATGAATTACATGACATTATCCATGACGTATTCTAGCCAAAAGAGCTAACTTGAATCCAGCCTTTTAAACTTACTTCCAGTTTACAGAAAATATAAGCACTAGAGGAGCAAGTTAAAATACCACCATGAAGATGCAACAGGACAAATCCAAAAGATGTGATATTCTGCAAAACAAATGGTGATGTCTCTTCAACAAGTCAGCGTCATGCAACAAAATGTGGGGGAGGGTGAGCTACGTTGAAAGAGACCAGGGGCAATGCACAGCCCTGTACTGGACCCTGGTTTGAACAAACCAGCTGAAACGTCAAGGACATTTTGGGGGCAACTGCGGAAATTTAAATAGGGTCTCTCAGATAAAATAAAAATGTATTGTGATGAAAAAATGTAAATCATTAACTAAAAAAAGGATTAGAAAGTACCAAGTACAATATATTATTTTGGTAAAAAATACCTAAATGCAAATATATGTGCCCAGAAAAATGTCTACAATGATAAACACTAATGTGTTAGGAGTGGTGGTTTCTGAGTAGTCACAATATGTTTTTATTATCTTAGTTTTGGTTTTCTGCATTTTATAACTTTCTGCAATGCACATATTTTGCTTCTATAACAATAGAACTTAAATAATAGGAAGGCCATCTTCCAGCTTTTGGAGGCAACATGTCATAGTGGAAAATATTCTGGACAAGGACTTAAGACATCCGAATTCTAAATTTGGCTCTGTCAATACCATTGAGCAAATCATCCAAACTTTTTAGGTTAGGTTTAGTTTCTTCATCTGTTAAACTGGAATATCTCACCAGTAAGGATAAATAACATAATAGCTATGAAACATTTTTTTTTTCTGCTTTATCTCCCCAAACCCCCCCGTACACGGTTGTACATCTAGTTGCATGTCCTTCTAGTTGTGGGATGTGGGATGCCGCCTCAACGTGGCCCGACAAGCAGTGCCATGTCCGCGCCCAGGATCCAAACCCTGGGCCGCCGCAGCGGAATGCGCAAACTTAACCACTCGGCCACAGAGCTGGCCCCAGAAACATTTTATAAATTGTAAAGTATGATTGTGATATGTTATTATATTAGTGTACAGACTGCAAAACTAGGAGTCAGCTAGCCACTGTAACTCATACTCCTTCTAGACTTCTTTTTTTTTTTATTTATTTTTTTTCCTTTTTCTCCCCAAAGCCCCCAGGTACACAGTTGTGTATTCTTAATTGTGGGTCCTTCTAGTTGTGGCATGTGAGACGCTGCTTCAGCGTGGTTTGATGAGCAGTGCCATGTCCGCACCCAGGATTCGAACCAACAAAACCCTGGGCCACCTGCAGCGGAGTGCGTGAACTTAACCACTTAGCCACGGGGCCGGCCCCACTCCTTCAAGACTTCTGAATTACACTACTGAAGTGCTCAGATGTCTATCTGATAGACTGGTGGCTTAGGGTTGCATTATAGAACTTATGTTCCCCCAGCCCCCGATATCGAAGCCGTTTCCTAGATGGCATAACGTGGTGCATCACAACAATGCCATAAGAAACTTCTGAGGTAGAGAGCCAGCTGTTTGCTACCACTGGGACAGCCTATTGTTTTAGTTTTCCTCTGTAACATCCTCATAATGAATTCCCTTTTGTCAGGCCATCTACTGCTTGTAAGTTCCACAGTTGCTGCTGCTTCTGAATGCTAGTCTCTTCCCTTTTCATTCTGATTTCTTCTTTTCTCTTCTACTTCTCTTGGGGAAGTCTGGCTTTCATAACCATCACTAACGAGCGTGCTTTTTGTTTTTGTATCAGTGGCAGAGAAATCCCATTATGTTAGATTTAATCTCTGCATACTCCAACTTTGGTTGTTAGTGACCAGTGTTGAAGGCCTGGTCTTTAATTTCCAAGAGAGCTTGTTGCTTCTTTGCACACTAAGGTTTCCAGAAGGCAGGCCTCAGCTAGGTGAAGTGTACATGTTTTTAACATGGTGACTGGTCAAAAGATAATCATGAATCACAGATGAACTTTTCTATTTTTGTGATTTCAGCTTCTAACCCCCTAATCAAATCCTGTAAGTTATCCAAAGTAAACATCATTTTTATTGGTACCCAATGACAAAAGGACAGAAGTAATCAATTTGGCAAGACAGATGAACACATTTACAGTACCTTTTAAAGCTTCCGTTTCTATGTCTACTAAAGGCTTCCCCACATAGGCAATATCGTCTAGATTATAATACAGTTTTTTAATGACTCCATCATAACGACTAGTGATAGTAACAGAAGCTTTATCACTTTGAACTTCACAGATGCTATCAAACTGAGACACTGTATCTCCTTCTTTTACATACCTAAAAGAAAAAGACATAAGACACTTTTGCATGAACAATCATAAGTACAGATCATCCTAACAATGTAAATGCCACACTGAATTAGATCAACATATATATATAGCCCAGCATTTAGTCCCAGATGGTGCAGGTAAGAATGTTCCAGAAGAAACTATAATGATTTTCAGAGTCTCTTTGATGTATTTCCAAGAAATACTAAAATTTTAAAAACCATTCATAGATCTATAACTCCAAAATTTAAACTTTTAAGGTTTTTGCCTCACCCATTTCTTGAATAAGTTCTAAAAGTGTACTTTAAAAGTGTTATTTCCTTTTACTGTCTTATATTAGAAAACTTTAAGGGATGCCTATTATTTCTAGAATTAAATTCAAAAATTGACATAAGAGAATACCATGAAAAGCTGTATGTCAAGAAAGTGGATAACCTAGAAGAAAAGGATGAATTCTTAGAATCATACAACCTCTCAAAAGTGAATCAAGAAGAAATAGAGAATCTGACTAGACCAATCACAAGTAAAGAGAATGAAACAGTAACCAAAAACCTCTCAGAACAAGTCCAGGGCCAGATCCAGTGGCCTAGTGGTTGAGTTTGGTACATTCCACTTTGGCAGCCTGGGTTTGGTTCCCGGGCACAAACCTACACCACTTGTCTGTCAGTGGCCATGCTGTGATGGTGGCTCACACACAAAATAGAGGAAGATTGGCAACAGATGTTAGCTCAGGGAGAATCTTCCTCAGAAAAAAAAAAAAATCCAGGACCAGACAGCTTTTCTGGTGAATTCTATCAAACATTCAAAGAAGATTTAACATCTATCTATCTCTGTCTCTTCCAAAAAATTCAAGAGGATGGGATGGTTCCTGACTCATTTTAAGAGGCCAACATTACCCTGATACCAAAGCCAAATGAGGACAATACACAAAAGGAAAATTACACTCCAATACTGCTGATGAACATAGATGCAGAAATCCTCAACAAAACACCACCAAATCAAATACAACAATGCATTAAAAGAATCATACACCAGGGACCAGCCTGGTGGCACAGTGCTTAGGTTTGAACACTCCACTTTGGCAGCCCAGGGTTCATGGGTTCAAATCCTGGGCACAGACCTATATACACACTCATCAAGCCATGTTGTGACAGCATCCCACATATAAAATAGAGGAAGACTGGCACAGATGTTAGCTGAGGGACAAGCTGCTTCGAACAAAAAGAAGAAGATTGGCAACAGACATTAGCTCAGGGCCAATCTTCCTCATCAATAAAAAAAGAGTCATACACCACAATCAAGTGGGATTTATACCAAAGATGCAGGAATGGTTCAACATCCACAAATCAATCAATGTGATACACCAAATTGACAAAGTGAAGAATAAAAATCACATGATCATCTCAATAGACACAGAGAAAGCATTTGACCAAATCCAACATCCATTTATGATAAAAACTCTCAATAAAATGGATACAGAAGGAAAGTACCTCAACATATTAAAGCCCATATACAACAAAGGCACAGCCAACATCATACTCAATGATGAAAAACTGAAAGCTATTTCTCTGAGAACAGGAACAAGACAAGGATGCCCACTCTCTCCACTCTTATTCAGCATAGTACTGGAAGTTTTAGCCAGAGCAATTAGGCAAGAAAAAGAAATAAAAGGGATCCAAAGTGGAAAGGAAGAAGTAAAACTGTCACTATTTGCAGATGACATGATTCTATATATAGAAAACCCTAATGAATCCACCAGAAAACTATTATAAATAATCAATGAGTACAGTAAAGTTGCAAGGTACAAATCAACATGCAAAAATCATCTCCATTTTGGGGCCGGCCTGATGGTGCAGTGGTTAAGTTCGCATGTTCCGCTTCAGCAGCCCAGGGTTTGCTGGTTCGGATACCCGGTGCAGACATGGCACTGCTTGGCAAGCCATGCTGTGGTAGGCATCCCACATATAAAGTAGAGGAAGATGGGCATGGATGTTAGCTCAGGGCCAGTCTTCCCCAGCAAAAAGAGGAGGATTGGCAACAGATGTTAGTTCAGGGCTAATCTTCCTCAAAAAATAAAAAAAATCAGCTGCATTTCTATCCACTAATAACGAACTAACAGAAAGAGAAATCAAGAATACAATCCCAGGGGCTGGCCCCATGGCCTAGTGGTTAAGTTCAGTGTGCTGTACTTTGGCAGCCCGGTTGGGTTCCTGGGCACAGACCTACACCACTCATTGGTGGCCATGCTGTGGCAGCAACCTACATATAAAACAGAGGAAGATTGGCATGGATGTTAGCTCAGTGAAAATCTTCCTCAGCAAAAAAAAAAAAAAAAAAAAAAAATCCTATTTACAATTGCAACAGAAACAATAAAATACCTAGGAATAAATTTAACCAAGGAGGTAAAAGACCTATATGCTGAAAACTATAAGACAGTATTGAAAGAAACTGAGGAAGACATAAGGGAATGAAAAGATATTCCAGGCTCATGGACAGGAAGACTAAATATAGTTAAAATGTCCATATTACCTAAAGCAATCTACAGATTCAATGCAATCCCAATCAGAATCTCAATGACATTCTTCATGGAAATAGAACAAAGAGTCCTAAAATTTACATGGAACAACAAAAGACCCCAAATAGCAAAAGCAATCTTGAGAAACTAGAACAAAGTTGGAGGTAAAATCAGGTACATACTCCCTGAATTTAAAAAATACTACAAAGCTATAGTAATCAAAAAAGCATGGTACTGGTAGAAAAACAGACACACTGATCAAGGGAACGGAACTGAAAGTCCGGAAATAAAACCACACATCTATGGACAGCTTATCTTTGACAAAGGAGCCAAGAACATACAATGGAGAAAGGAAAGTCTCTTCAACAAATGGTGTTGGGAAACCTGGACAGCCACATGCAAAAGAATGAAAGTAGACCATTATCATACACCATCCACAAAAATCAACACAAAATGGATTAAAGACTTGAATGTAAGACCTGAAACCACAAAAATCCTAGAAGAAAACATAGGTAGTATGTTCTTTGACATCAATCTTAGCAGTATCTTTTCGAATACCATGTTTCCTCAGGCAAGGGAAACAAAAGAAAACATAAACAAATGGGACCACATCAGACTAAAAAGCTTCTGCAAGGCAAAGGAAACCATCAACAAAATGAAAAGACAACCCATCAACTGGGAGAAAATATTTGCAAATCATATATCTGACAAGGGGTTAATTTCCAAAATATATAAAGAATCCATACAACTCAACAACAACAAAATGAACAACCAATCAAAAAACGGGCAGAGGATATGAACAGACATTTTTCCAAAAATGATAGACAGATGGCTAACAAGCCCACGAAAAGATGTTCAACATCACTAGTTATTAGGGAAATGCAAATCAAAACTACAATGAGATATCACCTTACATCTGTCAGAATGGCTATAATTAACAAGAGAAGAAATAACACATGGAGGAGAGGATGTGGAGGGAACCCTCATACACTGCTGGTGGGAATGCAAACTGGTAGAGCCACTATGGAAAATAGTATGGAGAGCTCTCAAACAACTAAAAATAGAAATACCATATAGTCCAGCTATTCTACTACTGGGTATGTATGCAAAGAACATGAAATCAATAGTTCAAAAAGATATATGCACCCCTATGTTCATCACAGCATTATTCACAATAGTCAAGATGTGGAAGCATCCCAAGTGCCTATCAATGGATGAATGGATAAAGAAGGTGTGTTATATATATATACACATACATACATATGTATATATACATTGTATATATACATATATATGTATATATACACACAATGGAATATTATTTAGCCAGAAAAAAGGAAAAAATTCTACCATTTGTGACAACATGGATGGACCTTGAGGGTATTATGCTGAGCAAAATAAGTCAGACAGAGAAAGACAAATACTGTATGATTTCACTCATATCTGGAAGATAAACAAACAAACACATAGGTAAGGAGAACAGATTGGTGGTTACCAGAGGGGAAGGAGGTGAGGGGAGGGCAAAAGGGGTAGAGGGGCACATGTGTGTGGTGACAGATAAAAACTAGACTATTGGTGGTGAACATGATGCAGTCCACATAGAAACTGAAATATAATGTACATCTGAAATTTATACAATGTTATAAGCCAACATGACCTCAATAAGATAATTTTTAAAAACTGATATCACCAAGACACATCCTTTGTAATTTCATGAATTTTGGTTTGAGTTCTCTCAGTCTTTCTTTCTACAATTACTTTAGCCTGTCCTTGTATATCAGTCCCTTTATGCCCTTAATTATTTTAGGTATCCTTGACAAGGCTCTTCTAGATATTCTTAGCAAATAGAACAGGAACAATGGGACCAAATCTAAAATACTACATATAATTTTGATTCTAATATCATTCTTGATGTATCTAGTACATTTCTGATTTATTTCTGATTTATTAATCAATTCTTCATTAAAATATTTGTCCAGTCATTCTTATTGTCTTCCTGTCTTAACCAGTTGTCAGTTCATAATAAAACATCACCCATATACAGAAGACACATATATAGAGGACTTTCACTTCCAGAATGGTGGAATAAGGACCTCTGGAATTCTGCTTCTCCATAAAATCAACAAGCACATTGGCAACGGTTGTTAAAAAATCAACTGTTTCAGAATAACAAAGCTGGCAACAGCCAAGAAGTATTTATTCAGGAAAAATGGCTGAATGTCATTAATAACAGTGAGTTTCATGGTATTTTAACTTGCTCTATCCTCACCTTCCTTTCCCAGCTCAGCATTAACCTTGAAAATTAGCAGCCTTTAAGCCACAAGAAGGGGCAGACCAAGTTTGTTGTTCCACAAAAGCTACATTCCCCATGTATGACTTGCCTGGCAGCTCCATGGAAAATCCCTTTCACAGGGCTTGTGTTCATTAGACCTGAATCAGAACTCGCTCAGGGTGTTTGCTGAAAACAATCCAAAGCAAATACTTAAAATCATAGCTGGCTGAGGTAGTAAGAAAAGTTGGGACAGAGGCCAGCTGGGTGGCATAGTGGTTAAGTTTGCGTGCTCTGCTTCAGTATCCCAGGGTTTGCCAGTTTGGATCCTGGGTGTGGACATACACACTGCTTATCAAGCCATGCTGTGGTAACATCCCACATAGAAGAACTAGAAGGACTTATGACTATAACAAACAGCTATGTGCTGGGGTTTTGGAGACAAAAGGAGGGGAAAAAAGGAGGAGGATTGGCAACAGATGTTAGCTCAGGGCGAATCTTCCCCACACATACATAAAAAAAACTTGGGGCAAACAAGAGGGTGGCCAAACATCTCAAAAGGAAGATCTGGGGAACGAGATGTCCATACTTCTCATTAGAGTTGCCACACTATTTTACATAAAATATCCAGTCTTCAGCAAAATATTATAACATACACAATGAAACAGGAAAGTATCGCCCATACACAGGAATAAAAGTAGTCAACAGAAATCATTCCTGAAGATGCCTGGATGTTGGACTTACTAGACAGAGACTTTTAATCAACAATTATAAGTTTAATTAAATTAATGAAATGTTCAAAGAGCTAAAGGAAATCATGTCTAAAGAATTAGAGGGAAGTAGTAGAAAATGATGTCTTACCAAACTGAGAATATCAATAAAGAGAATATTTGAAGAAATATTGCCAAAAACGTCCCAAATTTGACGAAAAACATTAACGTACATATGCAAGAATCTCAACAAACTCCAAGTAGGAGAAACTCAAAATAGCCACACCTAGACACATCATAATCAAACTGTTGAAAGACAAAGACAGAATCTTGAAATCAGCAAAGAAAAACCATTCATCAAGAACAGGAATCTCATAAGATTAACAGATGATTTCCAGTCAGAAACCCTGGAGGCCAGAAGGCAGCTGAATGACACATTCAATGTGCTGAAAGAAAAAGACTGTCAATCAAGAATTTTATATCTAGCAAAACTATCATTCAAAAATGAAGGAGAAATGAATACATTCTCAAATAAATTAAAACAGAGAATTCATTGCTCGCATATCTGCCCTGCAAGAAATATTAAAAGAAGTCCTTCAGGCTAAATGAAAGGACATTAGACAGTAACTCAAATCCACATGAAGAAATAAAGAACACCAGTAAAGGTAACTACATAGGCAAATATAAAAGATAGCATATATGTATTTTGTTTGTAACCCTTTTTTATTCTATCTAAAGTAATACTTAAAAAATTGTGTTGATGGGCTTATAATATTTAAAGATATAATACGTATGACAATAACAGCACAATAGAGGGGAGAGAGCATGGAGCTATACTGGAACAAAGTTTTTATGTACTATTGAAACTAAGTTGGTATTAATCCAAACTATATTGTTTTAGATTAAGATGTTAACTATAATCCTCAGGGCAACCACTAAGAAAATAACAAAAAATATATATAGTAAAAGAAATAAGGAAATTAAAATAGCACACTAGAGATATCTATTTAACACAAAAGAAGGCAGTAATGGGGGAATACATGAACAAAAAGCCACATAAAACATATAGAAAACAAATAGCAAAATGGGAGACATGAATCTTACCTTATCTGTAATTACATTAAACGTAAATGGTTTAAACGCTCCAATAAGAAAGCAGAGATTGGCAGAATGGATTAAAAAAAAGATTCAACTACATGCTGTCCACAAGAGACATATTTTACAGTCAAAGACACAAATAGGTTGGAAGTAAAAGGATGGAAAAAGATATATCTGTTTTGGAAAGTTTCAAAAAAGAATTGGAGTGGCTATACTAGTACCAGACAAAACAGAACACAAACTTTGCTTTAGAACTTTGTCAAAGACCTTTTAAAATTTGAGTATTTTTCTTATTTATCCATACATTTATTCCCACCAATTCTAAGAATACAAATAGTTTTACTGCCCCTTATACAAACACATTACCTTCTGTTAAATTATGCTCCCTTACATATTCAAATTTCTATTCTCAGGTTCTATTCTGTAGGATGGAATTTTGCTTTCTAGCATTTTACAAAGTGTAATACAGTATGTGTTTTTCCTTGAGTTGAGATTTATAGATATTAAATTGGAGAAAAAACACACCGAATTCAAGCAAGCTCTTAATATTTGTTTAAAAACTTCTGAAAAACTTTAATCAAATGATTTGTTTCTCATTTAAAAAACTATTAGATTTTAATGAGGAATGAAATGATCTCCTTTTCCAAGAACAGTAAAACCTTTTATCAAGCATACGGGTCCACAGAATTAGTAAGAGATAGAAATTAAGAAATGTTAAAAAACATCTAAAATCTAAAGAGTAATCTTGGTCTTGGAAAGCAGGTATCAGTAACTTTAACGTACATAGTACTTTGCAGATTTTAAAGGCATTTTGTATACATTACATTATTTAAGTCTTTCAATAACTCTTGTGAGATGTCAAAGTACCGTCACCCTCATTTTACATATTAATAGGCAAACGCTCAGTAGAGACCAAGTGAGTCACAGGTAAAACAGCTTATAGTTTCAGAGTCAGGCTCCTCTGAACTGAAGTCCATTGCTCTTTCCTCCATCCCTCAATGCCACTAGAGACATAACTGTAGGGTACATCTATGTTATTACAGTTCTCTTCTAACTTACAAAGTAAGAACAATGTGAACTACAGGGAAAGAATGTTCAGGTGGCAGAATCAGATTCCTAAAAGGGTCTTTAAAAAAAAATCTTTAATAGTATAAAATTATGGTGACAAAGAATCTATCGATCCATCTTAACTGCTACTTGTAGAAACTTTTAAAAATTAGTTCAGTACCCAGAGGTGTTTCTTTTTTTCCAGAAAATGAAAGAAAGAAAAGGGGTAGAAAGATGACTAAGGCAGTAGAGGGCTTTTAATTTTTATTCCAAGCTTTTTTGGATAATTTTTTAACCTTTTTGAAAATTATTTTTTGATTCATGCCTTTTGGTATAATATTTTAATCTTTTCTAAAAATACAGGCAAACTGTCAGGTAATGGTGAGTCAAATGTACTTGCATTCTTAATAAAGTCATTTTCAGCAAAGTAAAGAGAACTTAGACTACAAGATGATTTTAAAATAGTTTGGAAAGAAGTTTTAAGTTCATACATTAAATGCTTTTCAAACCACATGGTCATATTATTTTAACATCTTTTAGAGGTTAATTGCTCTTTTTGAGCTGAAATAAAGGGTGGGCAGTGAAGGGAGTTTTTAAAAGAGGAAAAAATAGGGGCTGGCCTGGTGGTGCAATCGTTAAGTTCACACATTCCAGGGCAGCAGCCGGGGGTTTGGCGCTTCGGATCCTGGGTGCAGACATGGCACCGTTCATCAAGCCATGCTGTGGCAGGCGTCCCACATATAAAGTAGAGGAAGATGGGCACGGATGTTAGCTCAGGGCTGATCTTCCTCAAATAATAATAATAATAATAATAATCCTTAATAAATTACATTGAATAAAATGCAATGATGTATGTTGAACTGTGTCACCAGCATATCAGTAACACAAACTAGTTTTACCTTTTTGCTTTAAAAAAAGCATTTTATGTTATAGAAAGAAGTTTCTCTATTTAAATAGAGTCCTACTTATTTACACTCAAATTATTTTTCCATTTACTAAAATAATTTTCAGAATAACTTACCATTCTTTAACAGTTACTTCTCTAATCCCTTCTCCAATGTCGGAGAGTTTGAACTGAACGATCTGTCCATGTAGAGCTTTAAGAACAAATGAGAAATGATCTCATTAAATATGCAATGTATTGCTAATAGATGCTTTTACATCTAAAATTAGAAAATATTCTCAAGCAGAGACAGTAATTATTCCATTTTACAGATAAAGCCTTTTCTAGTTTTTAATAGCATAGCCATCATTCATAACCATCAAAAATTTAAATAAATTATTCAATGACACAGACCTACTGACACTGCCACAGAACTTTTCCAATTTCCAGAATACTGTTCTTTTACAAGGGGACAGAAGGCCCTCTGCCAAATGAGATTTTGATGAATAGAAAATAGAACAAGATATTGTGCAAAGGGAGACCCTACTGGATCTCGTTTTATGTTAAGAAATTGTAACAACCATTAATGGCCTGCTTTTTGATCTCTTTTGACTTCATATAACTATTGTCATTCTTAGTGGCTAAAGATCGGGAAGATCCATATCTAGAAGACTTGATGGGAAATTTTTATTTGCCCAAACTGTGTTCTGCCAACTTAGCATTAAATGTTAGTCTTCTCTTTCCTCTTTCCATTTTATACCCCTTTTCAAATTTCTACCCCCTTTTTATAACACTTAGATGCCAATGATACTTTATGGTGATGAGCCCCAAGAGAGAAAGTATTTCTGGTCAACAGAAAGTATGTATGGATCCTCTCATTTTTCCAGGTTAACAAATGGCTCTGAACTGATTCGAGTGCTCCTCTATTTTTAGACTGCTATTCATCAAAATTGCTCATAAAATATACAACATATTTTTGATTCAACAAGTAATTCTAGTTTTAAGATTTTTTCCCCCTGAGGAATTAGAGAGGTACACAAAGATTCGTGCTCAAGAATAGTTATTATGAAGAAGTGCAAACCAACCTAAGAAACCAAAAAATGACAAGTAAATACATTATGACACCTCTATACAAACAACATTCTGCAAGGAATAGCAGGTGTATTGGAATATCATGGAAATATGATAGTGTATAGCATAGTTAGGGAATGACAAAGTGTTCTAAAAGGCTGAAGATAGGATATGTGGCAAGAAACCAGCCCAGATTTCAAAAGGCTTTGTGTGCCATGCTGAGGTAAAGTGTTTGGAATTTACCCAAAAGGAAATCAAGAGCCAATGGTAAATAAATATGTCATAAATTCTTTGCAGCTGCTTCCATAAGAGATAGAGTCTGTTTCACCAGTACTACTTAAATCTATCTTGGCCCATGACTTGCTTTGACCAGTAGAATAAGCAGAAGTGAAGTTGTGCAACTTTTGAAGCCTAGAGCTCAAAGGACCTCACAGCTTATACCTTCTCCCTGTTGGAATACTGCCTTGAGATCCCCATGTAAGAAAGCTGTCCTAGTTTGGTGGAGGATGAGAGAGGCCATGTGGAGGACAAATGAGATGTCCCAGCCCAAAATATGCACCAATTGTTAGACATGTGAGTGAGAACATCTTGGACCTTCCAGCCCAGGTGATCCTCTAGCCAAATACAGTTACACTAGTGAACCCAGGTGAAACCAGCAGAGCAATGACTCAGCCAACCGCCAGAATCCTGAGAAATAAGAAATCATTGTTGCTTTAAGCCACTAAGTTGTGGGGAGGTTGTTATTTAGCAACAATTAACTGACAGGGAGTCCCATCTGCCCTTTCAGATCTGTAACTTGAGATCCATAATTTTAGGAAAAAATCTCTCTGGCAGGAGTGTACTGGATGGGATTGGGGAAGGGGTGGCAGAGAAAGCCGTGAGGAGTCTCCTGCAGGTTCAGAAACTAAAGTATGGAACTTAATATATTTATATATTTTCAAAGCTGTTTGAAAATGAGAAGACAGACTTAAGAAATAAATAAGATGTCAAATTAATAGATCTTGGTAATCAATTTGATGTGAGACAGGAATCAGGATGGCTCCAGGTTTCTAGCTTAACTATTTACTGAGTTAGGGAATCTGGGAAAAGGATGTGTCCCCAGCACCTAGCGCAGTGCCTTGGCACATAGGAGGGGAGTGACAAATATTTATTCTCACAACAATACAACGAGTTAGATACCATGATTACCCTCATTTTCTAGAGGATGACACAGAGAGAAATTAAGCAACCTGCTTAAAGTTACACAGCTAGTTTGGCATACCAACAACCCAAAAGTTCATGATAAGTGTTTAGATACTGGAGCAGGTTGAGTTTCTGCTTGAATGGCCTCTATTTTCTCTGAGAAGAGAAAATATCAACTTCGGAAAATAGAAATCTTAAAAAAAAATGGAAAGATAAGGTTTACATATCTTAGGGTGTTGTGGAAGATGACATATAAAAGGTATGGAAGGATCAATTGATGTCAGGGGTTGGATCTGCCAGGAATTCCCCTATTTTTCATTGCTAGCACCGACAAAGCTGCCCGGTATCTGTCAAAAGCTTAATGATGTAATAAAAGTCTTTGGCTCTTTTCCAGGGTTCTAAAGAGACCATCAGAAAAAAAAGTTTTAGTGCCCTTGTCAAACCTAACACTTAAAGCCTCAAGTTCTTTAGAGGGTAGAAAAAGTTGGGGAAAGGTAATTAAATGATAAAGCCAGGAAACTTTCTACTTATGATCACCTCAGGCTAGTTTCATTCCACCATCTTAATATGACAGATTAGGCACCTCATCCATCAACAATACAATGAGTACAAGGAAATAGTTTACTAAGTCAACAATTCACCTTGATTGAGAAAGTCGCATCAATGTTGACTACTGCACTTAAATGAGTCAGATTATAAAGAACAGATGGCCCAAGACAATTCATTCCCCAAATTATGAAGACACAAGTAGTAAGGGAAAGTATGTGAAAAGAGAGTGGGAGTGGGGGAACAAAAAAAAAAAAGAAGAAAATGAGAAATGGATAGATGGGAGAGCAAGGAGGGCTGGGTTAGAAATAAAAGGTCAACTTTTTTTTACCTTGGTAAGTCTTCAATTACTTTTAAAAAAGTATTGAATAAGATATAAAACATTATTTTATATAGGCTTTAAGATCATACTTACCAGCACTTGTTTTCAGCAACTGATGTGGATGACTATACTTGAATGAAGGATAACCAAAGAAACACACATATTTTGGCTTCAAAACATGAACATTATTACATGTCTGAAAGTAGCGAGCACAAATCTAGAGATGAGAAACACAAAAGTAAAAGCTTTTATAAAAGATCTTAATGGCTTATCTCTGTAAGTATATTTTGAATTTCAAGTCTACTCTAAAAGTAGAAGAATCATTGTCACAATATGAAATTATCTAGGCTGAAGTCAGAATACTTGGCTTCAGTGCCAATCACGTTTATGAAGGTTGGATATTTCTTAGGTATTTCTGGTCAAGAAATCAAATGAACTCAAACCTTAGAATACGGAGAAAATTTTGTTGTTCTTTTGTTTAGTAAAATTATATCCTTAGAGTAGATCTGTTCATATGCTTATGATCCTTGCCTAAAATTCCTTATGGAAGTAAAGAAATTTTAACAATGTATTTTGTATAAACACATAGGTTTGTAGGTGCACTTGACTCATTAAAGAGTTCTTGAAATAAAACTACTAAATAATTCAGAAGTAACTGTTAGCATCTAAAGACACTGAAAAACACATGCAGTATTGTACCCAAAGGTTTACTTATCGTAATTAATAGATGACTCTTCAGATTTAACTATTTTATGTAACAGTATAATAAAAGATAACATGTTATAGAAATAAGTAGACCTGAATGTATTGATAGATCAAGATATCACTTGATCTATCAAAACCTAAGTGTCTGAAAGGTAGAATATCTTATTTTGAAAGTTAACATTTCAATGTTATTAATACCTAATTAACTACATCACACTTTTAAACATAAAACACAGAAATTTCTAAACTTCTTAGTGTGTCTGAGAATTCCAGTATGTACTCGAAGTTTTTTCATTAATGTAGGAGTTACTTTTACTTAAAACAATTACTATATCATCATGTACTTTATACTTCAGTGGTGATTGGCTCTTAAAATTTAAAAGTTATGTTATAATACATATTATGCTATGCATTATAGTCCTGTTATAATATATATTTATAAATAGGAATTTTGTTCCTCTTTCTTATAGCAAATAATATGAAAACAAATATTTGGTCTACTGACAGGAACAATACATTTAAATTCTTATGTGATTTTTCAGTCTAATTTCCAAGCTGTTACTGATTTCTGAAGGCAAGGACAAGCTGAAGATCCCTTTCCTAAAACACGAACAATCTTAAATCATACATCTCAGCTTGACTTTAAGAGATCATCCTAAAGCAACTAATCTTTATAATATCTATATTTTATTCTTATTAACATTAATATTCTGGCTAGTAACATAAAGCCTAACTAAAATATCTAAAACTGATAACTTACAACTTAGCAGATAGGGAAAGAATTCTCTTTCTCAAACACTCCCATTTTGTTTGTCCTTCCTTTCTCTTTCAATTCCCACCACCCTGGCTCCTAGTCAACAACAGAATCAAAGGAGTAAATCAGACATTATAAAATTTAGGGACAGTAAATGAAAGTTCTGAATTATATACAGTCACTTTTATATAAATACAATAGTCTATATTTTTAAAACCGTTGAAATAAAATAAAACTACTAGAAGGTCCTACCTTCAACAACACAACTTTTATTGAGAAACTATTAATGGGTCAAGGGAGGCACACACTATTGAACTTAACATGTATTAACAGCCTACCATGTGCTGGATACTTTAAAGGTCTTTATACGCATATCATCTTTATGTCCCACAATCACCTTCTGGAATAGGTACATTAGTCTCTTTAACACATGAGAAACTAATGATCAGAAAGGTGAAGTAATTTGTCCAAGGTCACACAGCAAAGAAATGGCAAACCTCAGCTTTGAAGCCAAGTGAATTTGACTCCAAAGCCCAGCTCCATCACCATCACATTATTATAGGTAGGAGAAATGATCCCTGCTTTCAAGGACTTTACAACCTAGTAGAAACAATAAACACACACACTCACACTCACATGTGGGCACGTGTGCTCTAATTTTTTGTAGTAAGTTTAGACAATAGGTGTTAAAGGAGTTTGAGAGATTTTTCTCAGGGTTGACCTGAGAACACTTCCCGGAAGAAGATCTGAGCTGGGTCTTGCTTAAGAGGTATTAATAATTAAAGAGCAGAAGTGGACTTTTAACACAGAGGAAACAGTAGGAAGTTGCTTAGCATGTCTACTAGGACAGTGAATAACTTGATTTGGCTTGATCATATCTATAAAAGGGAGCCGTGGAAGTAGCTCAAGGACCAAATTATTGATGACTGTAAATGTCAGGATAAGGAGTATGAATTCATACATTATGGGTTATTGAAGAAAAAGATTAAGAAATCAATCTAGTTGTAGTTTATTGATGAGATTGCAACAGGTAAGACCAGGAGAGAAAGAAAATAGCTAGGAAACGATTATAGTATTTGAGCCATGAAATGACAGCCAGACAGGCTCTGACTGAGGTGATCAACAGGGGAAAAAGAAAGCCAGCAATATAAGTGCAGCTGGCATTATATGATCAACAGCAAGAGAACGGTCAAGAGAAGGCTACAAACATTAGTAAAGCTGCCGAACGGAAGGCTAAAAAGACAAAAAGAAGGATAAAAAGGTAACAGAAAGGAAGAGAAAAAAACAATTTTTCAAGCTAGGAAGGACATTATTTTTTCTAGAAACAGAACACAAAACAATAGAGGGAGATTTGCATAAGAAGGCAATAAATACTAATTCAACAGGCAGTTGTTGAGCAATCCTAAAGACAGGGACTGCACTGGGCTCAGGAATTCAAAGCTAAGTGACATATACAATATAGTCCCTGAATTCAGGTTGCTTACACTTCACTACAGGAAGACAGATAATAGAAAAATTCAACATGATATGGTAAGTTAATCAAGAGTCAAATGCATGATGTCATAGATGAGTATAAAACACAACACAATAAGGCCATCTAAATAATTTACTATAGGTGATAAGAGCTCTTGTTGCTCATAAGTTTTTCTATCAGACGAAAAAAACAATGTTCTTTACTAAGTTGTTTAACAAATGTTTATTGAGTACCTACTATGTGCCAGGCACTTGGGATTAGAGAACAAAATAGATGCAATTCCTTCCTTTATGGAATATATAGTCCGTACTGTGAAAGATGAAGACAAGTAAACAGGTGACTATAACACAGCATTATAATGGGGGAAATTGAGAGTGTTAAGAGAACACAAGGGAGGGAACCTCTCTGGAAATGGTGAACTTGAAGTAAGACCTACTTCAAGGGATGAGCAGGAGTAACCCAGAGGATGAGGTGTGCTGTAGAAAAGGGCTTAGGGCAGTAAGGCAAGAGCCTTGAAAGCAGAGGAAATACATGTGTAAAGGTCTAGAGTCTGCAATAAGGGAGAACACAGTGTGTTCAATTAACTGAAGTTGCTTAACATAGTTCTGGCGTAGTTCAGTGTGGGGTAAGGGTGAATGAAGTAAGTGTGAGAGTGGGGGTTGGGATGGGTAAGTTTTAGCAAGGAAGGAAGCCTGAGAGATTGGAAATGTCCAGATCATGAAGTGCCTCACAGTCATTTGAATTTTGGACATTTTGCTTAGGGCAGTTTTAAGCAAGGAAATGATATTCTCAAATTTGTGTCTCTTTTATAAGATCACCGTGGCTATATTAATGAACAATGGGTTGGCGAGATACAAGATTAGAAGCAGAAAGTCCAATTAGGAAGGACCAGGATATCTGTAGTTGGGGGCGGGCTGGAGAATAGTACCTAGATTTTGGAGCGATTTATAGGCGACAATCAAAAGAGAAACAGGGTTGAGGCTTTAGTTCTGGAGCCTTTAAGGCATTATGGCAGACAATGTGAGATGACTAAGCCTAGCTCCTCCAAGCTCCCTTAAGCTGCGGCCATGTAAAACAGTTCTAGCCACTGAGTCTGGCTGTTACCACCTCTTCTTCCTTCCTGCCTTGAACATGAAGTTGGAGAAGCTGTCTTGTGACCCTGAGGGAAAGGCCAAATGAACTCCTGAAATGACAACCCTGACAATGATAGGCCATGGAGTCAACGCCAGCTGTCATCTAACTCTGGGATGCTTTGTATGCACAGTTGCTTAATTTCCTATTTATCGGTTGGGTTTTTACTACTTGCAGCTGAAAAACAACTAAAGCACATGCAATTGGAGATTTCCAGGACAATAAGATATATATGGGTCTGGAGTAGAGCTGGCTTGAAGACTGGGGAACTTTAGGAATCATCAGCATATAGACGGCAACTAAATTCAAAGAAGCGGTTGAGATAACCCAGGAAGTACAAGAAGTGCAGAGGGCCAAAGTCAGGGCCCTTAAAAACAGCAAGATTTAAAAGTCAGGCAGGGAAATAGGAGGAGATTGGGAAGATGTGGCCAAAGATATAGGAACAAGAATATCAGGAAGCTGGTGTCACAGAAGCCAAGGGAGAGCTCTCAAAAAAGAGGCCAGTACCTAGTAAGGGGCAAATCTCAAGCTATACAAGATCCTCTAGGCGCTCTTCTCTGACCTCCAAGTCCTGTCCTACCTGTTCCTATACCAGTGAATATTCGTCCCATCACAGCACTTCTCATGCTGTGGTGTAACTGTTCATTGTCTAACTTTCTCCTTCACCACAGGGCTGTAATTAATCTCTCAGAGGACAGGGTGGTGTCTCATATTTGCATCCCGAATGCCTAGTATAGTACCTAGTACACAGCAGGCTCTTGAAAAGTTTTGTAAGATGAGGGGTTGACCACTGTTGGAAGATCTGGGCAAGAGGGGACCCAGGAAGAAAAACGCTATGCAAACAGGATGAAGCAGTATGATTACTGGGATGTTACCTGTTTGGTGCTAAAAGACTGTGTGCGAAAGAGGGGAATTGCAGGGCAGATGGTGGCGGGTCTTAGCTCTGGTGATTAAAAGGTTGAAAAGATACCGGTGCGGACGTAAGAGGTAAGTACAGGCCCAGAGGATGAAGCTCGAGCCTCTCAGCTCCTCGGAGGCAAGGACCCATGGTGTGATGATTTGCTTTCTAGAGGAAGACTGAGTTCCTTGAGGGCAGGTCCTATTATCAGCGGCTGGCATAAAGTGGGTTCTCAATAGATGCTGAAGGAGTATATATTTCCGTATGCCCAGCGCCCATCACAACGCCCAGACACTAGATGATGCTCAACAAAACGCTAGCTGGCCTGGGTGTAGAACGAGCTGGAAAGCGACAGAGTCGCGGTAGAGGCGCTCCCAGGTAAGGGGAAAGAGTGGGCTTCCAAACCAGCTGGCTCGTCTCCTTCTCTGCCCTTCATTTTGCATACATCCCTCCACCTCTCCGTCGCGCACGACCTGTACGCGAGGCACTCGGAGGACAAAGTAACACCCCTCTCTCGGATGACTCCGCACAAATCACCCCTTCTCGATCTCAGCTGTGCCCCAAACTACTTACCAGCCTTCCAGCATTCTGGCTCCAGGTCCTCATTACTCGCACTGCGGCCATTTTACTCCGGATATGACAAATGCTCCGCGGGTGCAGAGTCGCTCGGCAGGGCCACCTATCCGGAGCTGGGAAACGCGCCTCCGCCTGAGCGGCCAATGGAGAGCGCAGGAACGAGCCTCCCACCAACCCGGCGGCGCCCGAGGGAAATCTCAGGGCGTGGAGAGGTGAAGGAGCCCCGGGCTGGGGCAAAAGGTGGGGAGGAGAGCAGCCGAAATTTAATTTCAGGGACAAAGTTGGGTAAGGTACTGCTGTGTAAGTACTTGTGCGCTAACGATCACCTTTTTAGTCCATGTAATGGGGGAAATAGAGAGTGTTAAGAGACAAAGGGCGCTTACCTGGAGAAAGTTATGTTGAAGTATTTTCTTCAGTTTGTATTGTAACCGCCTGGATTACAGGTTACAGGACACTTGTATACTTTGTAGCAAGGCTCTGTACCACTAGTTGTGTTACAAGGCTTTACTGGAATGCTTCTCAATGACTGGCATTTCTTACTCCCGTTGAGTTGTCTTAATTACCCAAATTGGCTTTTCAGTTGTTTTGCTTTGTTTTGTTTTCCTGCAAGGTGAACTAGGTTGCCCTAATGTCTAAAATAAACATGTCATCAACATGATCCTTCCTTCTCTGGGAATGTTGTCAGAAGCAGCTGCCCAGCACATGCAATATATGTCACAGATATATAACCTGGGTTAATATCCTTGACTTACTTGTCTCTTGGAGAAATGTAAAATTTAGGTCAAGAGGAACCAGTAGAGAAAAGATCAGAGCTTTAATAGTCAGTCTTCCTCAAAGCAACTAGGAAACCAATTTCTAGAAATGTCCAGAATGACATTTCTCTGTTCTTGCCTTTTACTTGGGAATGAAAATCTGCTCAAATGTCTAAAGAATCACAGAGGGGGAAAGAACACACGCCCACACAAGGAACAAAGGCAACATTATAAATTCTCAACATTGAAGATTAGTGGCTGTAAAACAAACTCTCAGGTGTTTCATAAGTTCAGTCTAATATTACCCAAACTCACACTTTTCTTCTTTTTTGCCTTATTTGCCTTTCAGTGTATTTCACACACACAAACTACCGTAAGCAATACATCTAAATCCTTACCTTCATAAGAAAATCTGAGATAGTCAAAAGGACTTTCATTTTTTTTAACTTTCCCACTAACAGAACATTTTATAGGCACTATTAGTATACTTGGTAATACCACATGCATGTGTTTGTATAAACAGATAAAATAGCAGTGTCTTTGAAATGAATATTTTTCTTCCCAGGGCCTTTATACCATGTTCTTCCTCTTAACTTTGACTTTAACTCTGCCTTCTCCCAAGAAAATATCTAGTTTCTTTTCTTTTACCCTCTTCATACCTCAGTGGGTTACCGCTTCCAAATTCAGTATTATGTTCCCTTGTCTATCCTTCCAACATCAAGAGGTATGCCACCTATCCACTAGTGAAACCTTTCACTTGAGCTCAACAGAACCAAGGAACTCATTTCTTCTCTTTTTTACTTTATTTTTTATTTTTTTTAATTGGCTAAATAATTTTTTTGAGGTAACATTGGTTTATCTTCTTGTTTAAATTCATAAAATGACTAATTAGGACCCAGCAATTCCACTCCTAGGTATCTAACCAAAAGAAATGAAACATATGTCTGCACAAAGACTAATACCAGAATGATCATAACAGCATTATTCATAATAGCCAAAAATTGGAATCAGCCCAAATGTCCTTAAAACAGGTGGATGGATAAACAAAATGTGGTATATCCATTTAATGGAATATTATTCATCCTTAACAATGACTGATGTAATGACACATGCTTTAACATGAATGAACCTCAAAAATATAATGCTAGGGGCTGGCCCTGTGGCCTAGTGGTTAAGTTTGGCATGCTCCACTTTAGCAGGCTGGGTTCATGGGTTTGGACCCCAGGTGTGGACCTACCCCATTTGTCAGCCATGCTGTGGTGGTGACCCACATACAAAAGATTGGCACAGATGTTAGCTCAGGGCAAATCTTCCTCAAGCGAAAAAAGAAAAAAAAAGAGGAAGATTGGCACAGATGTTAGCTCAGGGCAAATTTTCCTCAGAAAAAAAAATTATGCTAAGTAAAAGAAGCCAGATCCAAAAGGAGACGTATTGCATAATTCCGTTTATATGAAGCATCATTCCAGAGAAGGCAAATCTATGGAGATAAAAAAACACATTAGTGGTTGCCTGGGTCTGGAGGTCGGGTGGGGAATGATTGCAAAAGGGCAGTAGAAAGTGTTTCGTGGCGATGGAAATTTGCTGTTACCAGATTATGGCGATGGTTGCATAACTCTGTAAATTTACTAAAAATCATTGAGTTGTACACTTGAAACAGGTGAAATTTATGGTATGCATACTGCAGTAAAGTTATTTAAAAATGTGTTATATACATACAAAAAAATAATGTAACATATAGGTAAGTCACACATAATAATGAAAACCTTGAGCCCACCACCCAATTTAAGAAATAGAACCTTTTCTATGCTGGCGAAGGTCACCATCTGCTCCTCCTCTTAAACTTCCCTCTCTTTCTGAGACAACCATTATCTTGAATTGTGTGTTTATTATTCCTTTGTTTCCTTTAGAATTTACTACATACGTGGATCCCTAACAACACATTGTTTACTTTTGCTTGTTTTGAGTCTTATAAAAATGGTGTCGAATGGTATCTTTCTGCAACTAGCTTTTATGATGATACCACAATTTATTTATCCATCACTATTCAGTGAACAATTGTGTTGTTTCCCATTCTTTGCTATTACCATTAGCGCTGACATGAACATTCTTGATCATTTCTCCTGGTGTACATGCAAGAGTTTCTTTAGGGTAGTGCTTTTCAGAGTGTAATGAGCATTCATATCAATTGGGGGATCTTACTAAAACACAGATTCCAATTCCATAGATCTGGGTGGGGCCTGAGATTCTGCATTTTTAACAAGCTCTAGGTGATACAGATGCTATTGGTTAGCCAATTACACTTTGACTAGTAAGGGATAGATATATACTATACTTAAAAATGGAATCGTTGTGGGTCCAGCCTGGTGGTGCAGTGGTTAATTTCACACATTCATTTCAGCGGCCGGGGGTTCGCTGGTTTGGATCCTGGGTGCTGACATGGCACTGCTTGGCAAGCTATGCTGTGGTAGGCGTCCCACATGTAAAGTAGAGGAAGGTGGGCACGGCTGTTAGCTCAGGGCCAGTCTTCCTCCGCAAAAAGAGGATTGGCAGCAGATGTTAGCTCGGGGCTAATCTTCCTCAAAAAAAAAAACAATGGAATTGTTGAGACATGAGTTATATTTATCTTTAATTTTACCCAAGATAATGCTAGATTGTTTTCCAACACAATTGCACAAAATACACAGCAGCTGTTAAGGGAGTACCTATCACTCCTCATTTAATATTGTCACACTTAAACAGTTAATGTTTTCCCAATTTAGTAGTTATAAAATGGTATTATGGTCTTAATTTGAATTTCTCTGATTATTAATAAGGTTGAACACATTTTCATATGTTTATTAACCATTCTTGAAGTGCCTGCTCATGCTTTTAGGCTATTTTTTCCCTATTGTGTATGCATCCTTTTCTTGTTGATTTGTGTAGGAATTGTTTATATATTCTAGACTCTTATGCTTTTTTATTTATATGTGTTGCTATCTTCTTCTAGTTTCTGACTAGAATTTGCTTTTTTGAAAGTGTCTTTTGATGCACAGAGTTCTTCATTTTAATGTAGTTGAATGTATCAAAATTTTAAAAATTGAGATCATTCTCATACCATAAAATTCACCCTTTTAAAGTGAACAATTCAGTGATTTTTAGTATATTCACAAAATTGTACAACCATTACCACTATCTAATTCCGGAACATTTTCATCACCCCCAAAAAGAAATCCCATACCTGTTAGCAATCACTTCCCATTCTGGGACTCCCCGCCAGCCCCCAAGCCTCTGACAACCACAAATCTGCTTTCTGACTCTATAAATTTGCCTATTCTGGGCATTTTATATAAATAGAATCATACAATATGTGGTCTTTTATGACTAGCTTCTTAGCATAATTTTCTCAAGGTTCAGCTGTAAGACACACGTATCAGTATTTTATTCCCTTTTTTGGCTGAATAATATTTCCTTGTGTGGATATACTACATTTTTGTTTATCCACTCATCAGTTGATAGACATTTGGGTTGTTTCTACTTTTGGACTATTTGAATAATGCTGTTATGAACATTTGTGTACGAGTTTTTGTGTGGACATAAGGTTTCATTTTTCTTGAGTATATACCTGGAGTGGAATTGCTGGGTGGCATGATAACCCTATGTTTAACTTTTTGAGGAACTTCCAGACTGTTTTCAAAAGTGGCTACACCATTTTACATTCCCACTAGTAGTGTGTGAAGGTCCTGCTTTCTTCATGTCCTCATCAACTCTTGTTATTGTCTGTCTTTTTTATTATAGCCATGCTAGTGGATAGGGTATGATTTACAAAATTTTCTCCCATGTTGTGCTTTGTTTTTTCACTTTCTTGATAGTAACCCTTAAAAGCACAAAAGTTTTTAATTTTTAGTAAATTTAAGTCCAATTTATCTATTTTTTTCTTTTATTGTTTGTGCTTTTAGTGTCATATCTCAGAAACCATTTACCAATCCAAGGTCGTCAAGATTTACGTCTATGTTTACTTGTAAGAGTTTTATAGTTTTAGCTATTACATTTAGGGTTTTGATCCATTTTGAGTTAATTTCATATATAGTGTGGGATATTTAAGTCTTTAAACCATCTTGAAATGATTTTTGTGTATGGTGTGAGATAGAAATCCAATTTCATGTTTTCCTAACGGTTAACCCGTTGTTCCAGCACCGTAAACTGAAGCGTGACTCTTTTCCCACTGCTCTACCATCCCATCTGTCATAGAAATCTGTTTCTGTGCTCTAAATAGTCTATTTGTCTATCATTGTGCCAATTTCACATTATCTTAATTACTTTAGCTTCATATTAACCCTGGATTTTGAAAAGATGAGTACTCTCCACCTCATTCTTTGTCA